CAATGATTGAACTTTAGAAACAGTACGTACCTTTTTCGGGTATTCGCTTGGAGATTTCTTTCCATCTAAAAGAGATGATTTATGTTTTTTTTTTTCCTTTCCAGTTAATTATGTTGATTAATAATGTTAATTAAATTATATATGAATATATTTGGAACTACTTCTTCCCATTCATCTGTTTTCTCTGTGCTTACATTTTAACTTAACGAATTTATTTCCCTAGTACCTCGTGTTTATATTTACAAGCTGTATATTTTTCTCTCTCTTTGTTCTTTAAAACTTAAAATGTTTTGCTAGATTCGGTTTTCGGTGTTTTGTTCGCTTTATTTTATGTTTCACTGCATTGTTTACTCACAATCATCCTGTCATCTTGCGTTTCCTTTGAACATTAATTTAATTTGCTTTCCTGTCATATTGTTTTCTTTAATAAATCTATCTTAAACACTTTTTTTAGGCTTTCACTGATAACAAGGACACTTTACATAGGACAAAGACACTATTCTTTTTTTTTTTTTTTTTTAACTAGAAATTCCCGTTTGATGAATATATTTATATGGTCACGTAAATAAAATTCGAAATCCAATTTGTATATTGCAAAAATTTTCTACATACGAAAACATCTGTTCGTAAATACAGCATACACATTAATACACTTCTAAAATTTTCTAAATGTGGAAAATTTTCTAAATTAGAAACCGGAAAAAATCTTTTAAATATTAAAATTTGCGGTCAATCTAACGTTAGAATACTGGTATCCCAGAAAGCATGTCGTCTGCTGAGCATGTAATCCTAGCGCTTCTTTTAGTAGTTCACTCTGTTCTCAAAGTTTATAGACTCAAGTAAATTACATGTTTAAAAAAAAAAAAAGAGAAATGTTTAAAATTACCCAATTAAAATATATTTATTTAAAATACACGTGTCTTGCATCTGAGTAAATATTTAACAAAAATATCAATTTATCTTTTAGAACAAAATAAAAACAGAAAAAAATGTGTGTCCTAGAAGTTTACAAACAAGTGTAATTTTATGCAAATTGGTTAGCAACAATTCTGATGGGGAACTTGAGCCTTTTATATGATAATGCTCTCATTCAAACCTCCAATTTAAAAAAGAAAAAAGATCATTTAAACTGGGTTTAAGTATACCTAAAGCTATGCAACTGTCTGATGCTGAAGTTAATATAATTCTGAACTTTAAATTGAACGATAGGTCTGTTAATCATGATTTATCGTGTAATGGCTCGTAAGATGCGACTAACCAAAAGCACGTTCAGGAAGACACCGAGTGACGGATACTCGCAGCGAGAGACGAATACAAAAAATAGCTTCGACACAGAAAAAGTCGGGTCGTCAAATTGCAAGGGCTTGCGGATTCCAAATATCTCAAAACACTATTCATAGACTAATCAAGGAATCGGGTTATATGATTCACGTTAAATTCTTTCAATCATTACCGCACCCAAAGCTTCACAAACGAATGAAATTACAATGGCCTCGTAACTACATAGTGACATGACCACATATGGTGAAAAATGGATTTCTGTAATTTTCAGTGATGAGGGAAAAAAAAAAAAAAAAGAAGAAGGGAGATTTGGTTGGTCCTGACGGGTGATATTACTGGCAGGACTTACAAAAACAGCCTCGGAGCTATTTCAGTAGGAACAGTGAAGGTGGATCTGTTATGGTGTGGGCAGATTTCGGCAAGATTCGTCTAAATACATAGAAACACTAAGCGACCATCTTATGCTATTAGCGGAAGACAAAATTGGGTGTACTAGCATGACAAAAAAAAAAAAAAAAAAAAAAAAAAAAAAAAAAAAAAAACTGACGTGTACGGAATGATATGTACATGACTGATGTGTGTACAATCTGATGTGTACATGACTTCCTTGTACGGAATATTAAATTATACGCATTTATTCTTGTATTCCATTTAAACTTATTGGATTGAATTAAATCTACTTCGTCGATAGCGCATAAACCACAATAGAATAAATGCGCTCTTTAAAATTTACTATATTTGTTTACCATAGCGACACTCTGGCGCTAGGTTCACTTAACAGCGTTACATTTCGTTCATATTATAACTCAAAATGCACAAAATTTATATCATTTGAAGAATTATCTAATCGTTGTCACATGTTCAACATGTTGTCACATGTTCTATTCAAATAATATAATAAATCTAGTACGATGTATAAAAGAAATTAAGCAAACAAAACTAAAAAGGAACAGTTTTTCAAAGACAATTCAGTATTTCTCATTCAATTAATTGAGTTCTCACTTCATGAAAAGGCTCAAAATATCTATATTAAAAATTACGAAGTAAATCTTAAACACTTATTTCCTCGAAAAAATTCCAGAAAGGATTAAGCAAGATTTAATTCTCAATAATAAATGAAGGCGTTATTTTTGTTGTTGCGAAACTGTGTCTCTCTAGACTGGCAACAAATCTACTATTCTGTTTCAAATGTAAGCAAATATTTTCGCCATGTTATTTAAAAATTAGGCTTAACCGAACTTAAACAGCTTTTAATTTGTTGATAATTCTACAAATATTGCTTGCAGTTTTCCTAAAGGCATAAAAATCTTAACCAGCAGATAAGAACAACATAATTCAATCATTTTTAAAGCAAAAATTGCACAAACATATAAGAGTAAAGGAACTGAGATGACTGAGCCGGGTAACAGAGTGAATATATATATAAATATATTTATATGCGTTTGGTGCGGCCGATTGCAACCAAAATACGAAGTGCACATCTGCATGTTATAGCAGTTCTATATACAAAATTTTAACGTTCTGAGGCTACTCGTTTTTGAGTTATGCGAGATACATACATATGTACAGACATCACGAAAATTTCTCTTGAGAATTCATTTTACAGCAGTTTTATAATTTTTTTCAGAGGAAAACTTTTATTCTGTCCTTACGTACAGATGTCAAGCAAAAACATCGTTAAATTGGATTCGATAGCGGTCAAAATGGATATTTTCGCTGAAATATGCTGCTGAATCTTTTCGCGATTACGATACTTCCTTTTTACTTCGTACAAGGAAGTAATAAAAATGAAGATTTAATCTGCTTTCGTCTCCAAATTTTCTATTCATTATGGATCAACACTTCTACGCCATCAAAATTGGTAAAATGCTACAGAAAGAAAAAGTGTAAGAGAAAAAGTGTAACTTAAACAGATAGTTGAGCGTAAACAGTTTTGTTCACCACCACAGGTGAAATTTAAAAAAAACTCAAGACGAAGTGGCAAGAGCTTAAACAAAGGTTTGAGTTATTGCAAAGCCGTTTGAAATATTTATAAAATTAGATAGTTTAGCTTAAGGAAATGAAAATGATCTAATGCAAGTTGGATGAAACAACAAAATGATTTATCTCTGAAAAAATTAAGTGTATTTTTTTGGACGAAGTGTGCAATTCGGATCTGAAAATTTGAAATGCGCATAAAGGTCTTGAAAATTAGAAATTAATTTTGTGTAAAATAGATAAAAGGTATTTTTCTGATTACTAATACATAAATGCAGTGTTTGAACACAAAAACACTAAGAACTAAAATGTATCTACATCTTATTACAAAAATGATATATATTACATATAAAAAATGACACTAATACAATCTTATTTGATGAACCAACGAATAAAATGAGTTTTTTTCCCTCTTTCTGCAAAAAATAGCAGACTCGCAGTTATGCTCTTTGGAAGTGTAATTGTACATAATTGAGATATCTCTAGCATTTTATATATGCCTTATTATCTGGACACGTTTCTTAATGAATCTCTGATAAATTTAGAGTTGAATGCGCAGCATATTTACCTTTTCGTTTGAAAACATTGTAAGGAATTATTTAGTTTCAACTAACCAGTTTTTGTTCAGTTACTTATCTTTTCCATCTTCGCTTATTTCCATTTCCTGGCAGAATATTTCAGTTTCGCGTGTTATGCAAAGTAGGGGAGAAAGATACTATTTAAACTAGTGTCTGAGTTACTTCAGACAGAGTTCTCGCTATCCCTAAACTTTCTCGAGCCATGTGGCTTCCTCTAGTGAGCATCAAGTTTATTACTTATGAAATTTTCCTATTTCTGCTCGCTTTTATGTAATTCTGATGAGTACATGGTTTTGAACCATAGGCACTCCGTAATTTTTAACCATTGCCATTGGATTCAGACAGAGTGTGTTCTGCCATTCGGCTGCGTTGTTTCGCTGATTTAAGCTTGCTGTGTCAGGGCCGTGTGTACTACTAATTGCCGATTTGTCTACGTCGGTAGAAAGGCTAATTATCTCTATGCAGCTTCGGCTGATTATTTAGTTTTAATTTTGTATTTCTATTTTGAGCTGCAGCCCAAATTATTGGTCCAGCTTGTAAGCACCAGAAGTGCCGTCTGTAAATTTCTTTCTGAGTTGAATAAAAGAGTCTTTTAACCCTTCCTACATCTTGTCATTGATACAGTTTGAACTTAGCGAATAGTCGCTTCACGGTTCAAGTAAAGATCTAGTTAGCTTAACTCTCAAATTAAGTTAACTCTCGAGTAACTATTAACTCTCAAGTAAAGTTAATTTAGCTAGAATCTTACAATCTTTCTTCGATCTCTCTTTACACACTGCGCTATCAGTTTTTAATTATGAAATATACCAATAGATTGAGTGCTGTTTTTAAAGAAATTTAATTTAATATGTTTAAACTGGACTGTTATTCTTATGATTCTTGATACAGATTCCCCTCGTGTGTTTGCCAAATTCATATACCTCTTATTCTTACATCCATTTTAAAATCATCACTGATGAATTTAGTATTAAATGATTTATGCAGTATATTTTACATCTATGTTAGAGTACATTTCTTTTTCTGTTCTTTATATTATCAGTCTTTAATTTTTAAATATACTGAAAGGTTCACTGCTATTTTCGTGAAAATAAATTATTTAGATGGATTGTAGGTCTAAAAATATCAAATAGCTTTTGAATAAATATTGATAGCATGTTACTGACGTCAGCTTTTCGGAAAACAGACAGTGCTGGTCTTTTTTATTAAATATTTTGTATTAAGAACTAAATCACAGTTTGTCACATATAATTTTGCTAAAATTCACATATATTTGTTTATTCTTAAGTATGTAAACTATTAGTGAGAAAACTGGTAAAAATTAGTAAGAGTTCTGTGTACTTCTAGTGAGAAAATTTGCTCTGATTGCTGCTTTTTCCTGTCAGTTTTCTAGAGTAAATAGAAACAATATTCGGAAGTACCATTCACATTGTTCTGCTTTCAAAAACTCTAAAATGCTTTTTAGTCAAATATGATGCATAAACTCGGGGAAGTTTTAAAGAGTTGAACTAAAAACATCACTTGCTTTTGAAAAATATTGCATTATATATATGTTTTTGTAGCATTCATTATTATAGAAAAGTTTCATGTCGTTTCTGTCCTGTTATTATTGCATACTTTCACAATTCATGTAGAATTAATCCTTTCAAATGCTTCTCGCCATGTTAGTTTTGGCTCTTATTATTTTAGTGAACTAAATAACACGCGATTTTGATGAAAATTAGATTCACCCTATTGTTACAAATTATTGCACTTTGACATATGGCTTCAGCTCTTTGACCAGTTCTTTCAAAAGGAGTTGACACCAATAGAACAGTTCTGTTTTTCTCTTCCAAAATTCACTGTAGTTACAGTATTAAGGTAAATATTTTCAGTTCTTCAAGTATGGAAACTGTCACAAATGCAGCATAAAGCAAGATTAAAAAGACTCCATATATTTTTTTCGTCTCAAATTTCCAGAAAATCATCAGCGATGCTGTTGTTATTAATCCTGTGCCAATTGTAGCGAATAAAAATGCGAACTGGGCTGAAAATGTAAGCTAGAAATATGAAAAAAAAGTTATGAGATTTCGAAATATGAAACGAATTTATTCATCATAAAATACAAATGTGTGATTTAGTTTGAAAATTTTAAAAAAAAAAGTCAAAATAAATAGTAATAACAATTTAAGATGGTTTTGTGACGAAGATGATGCTGGTGGTAGATGTCTGGTTCTGCATATTTCTGAATCACTAATACGCCGTGTGATTTTCACAAATCATTCTGATTATGCGTAATTGTAGAATAATAAGCACAATGAAGTAACAAGCACATAATTAATCTGTCTACATCAACGATTTGTACTTTCTTCAAAAACAAGATTAAGATTAAGGAGATCGATTCTTCAAAGGATGCTACAAGAATTTCTAAGCAAAGGCCACATGTTGTCGACGTTGTTGAAAGATTGCTTCTCATATTGATCACCAAGAAACAAACGCTAGGCTACACTATTAACGAATACAAAATTTGTGAGAAGCTTAACTAGTTAACTGATCGCATTAAGAAGATGTCGGGATCTTTAATGGACAAAGAAGATGCATTCAAGGCAAGCTGTGGATGGTTCGAGAAGTTTAAAAGAACTGGCATCCACTGCGCTACAAGACACGGAGAAGCAGAAAGCTCAGACATATAGGCAGCCGAGATATTCGACGTATTCAGGAAGCTTATGAATTTTGATAACCATTGCAAGAAGCGATAGGGATTCCCATAACATGAGTAAATTTGCAGTTTCGAATGTTAAGGAAACGGTTTTTCAGCTGTACACGTAGATAGGACATTCTTCGACTCCTTTCTATTGTTCTCACTTCGGCTTATGTCCTTTTTCGTCAAAAATGACGAATCGTTTTCTTCAGCTATGGGACTGAAAACACACAGAGGAAAGTTCGCCATTTTTAACGGAAAAGAACATAGGTCGACGTGAGAATAACAAAAAGAATTACAAGACTGTTCTACAAGATGTCCCACTCGACAGAGGCCCCGAGAAAAGTGTGATAAAAATCTTATAACAAGAGGAAATGAAACCACGTTTTTACATGACATACTTTTATGCTTGAGAAATGAAAGCGCATTACAAGAGGAAGTGACCTCTCCCCACCTATACACACAGTTCAACACGGCACTGCATGTTCACGTACGATGCTGTCCCTGCTTGGATTTCGCGGTGGATGTTCTAACGCAACTCGTAGGTGGTGTATGATTTGTGCTTGTACGCATTACCTTTATGGCTACCCCATAGAAAAAGTCAAGATGATGATGATGCGTCACTGTGATAATGCACAGATCTACTTTCTGTAAATTAAGGTGTTCCTTGACGACTGCATGCTCGTTGTCGCTATTATATAAACGTGTGTTTTGTTAGTTTAAGTATTCTGACAAGGCCGCCCAGTCGGAATAGTGGTCAGGGAAGCTGGCTGCGATGCCGAAGAGCCTGGGTTCGAATCCCGGAGAAGGCATGGTTGTAACTGTCCGTCTCTTCATAGGAAAGGCGATGGTGGTCCATCTATTAGGTGCCTCCATAATAAAAAGACCACCACATCTGGCCTTGTATAGATTAATGGACTGTGTTACATTTGTAATTGTTCACAATCTGATATTGGGAAAAAAAGTATCCTCACAAGTTGAACCACGCTTCATCACTATACCAAGTGTACTGTAGCAGCAACATACGCAAAAAAACAGCGTCGTGTTGAACTGCGTATACAGAGGGGGCAAGTCACTTACAATAGCTTTTGTAATGTACTTTCGTTTCTCAAACATAAGGGAACATCATGTAAAAATTTGGTTTAATTTCCTCTTGATATAAGATTTTTATCCCATTTTTCTCAGGGTCCTTCTCGAGTGAAACATCCTATAGCTAAATAACAGAAAGCGGACCCGTGTCTATAGATAACCAGATCTCGAAGCCCTCCAAATCGTTATGCGTATATTTTGTAATAATTCTATTTTTATTTAATAAAAGCGAGAAAAGTGGGCACTGAGGTACCGCCTAGTGTCCTAGGCTGGCTGAATCGGATTTTATCTGTTACATGTACTTGTCAGCTTTAAGTAAAAAACTTACCACTCTTTAAAAAAAAAAAAAAAAAAAGTATACTTACGGAGTATTTGGGAGGAACTCGCCCTTTTACTATTTCTATGATACATGGTATTCCTAAGCCTAATAATAAAGCTGAAAATATATAAAATAAGTCATTTGACTATCAAATAATATATGCTGTAATAAATAGAGATATCTTATTATATTATTAATTTCATCCAAAGAAACTGATTTTTCTGGTTATAATAAATTTCTGTCAAAATTAAACTATAAAAATATTATACCGAAATATATTTTCTTTTGAAAATATGCTTCAAGATACATTAAAGAATTGGTAATTCATTATCTCCTAACTGATTCTTTCTTTAATTCAGGAATTTTCAAGTCTTTTTTCATCTCGAGCTACACCAGAAGCAATTTTGCTGGCCAATTTCATCGAAGCAAAGAAGTACTTTTTCAAAATTTGTAATGTATTATTTTAAAATTACATTCACAAATAAACTTGTAACCTTAAAAAAATACCAAGTACGTGAAAAATCCAAATTTCATTAAAACATTAGTGACTAGATTAAAACATTTGGCAAAGGCTATAAGTTTACACATTATCAGGATTTTCGGAGCAGGCAATCAGGAAAATTCTCTGGGAATCAAACCATGGATTATCCGTTTTCTTTGCATGATCCTGGAGTGTTAAGATCATGCAAAGAAAATGACCTAATTACTTACATTCTTTTCTACTAAAAGGGCGACTGGAATGAGACACAAGACTCAGTCGATGATGAGGTATTGTCCATCACATATTAATTCAGTCGCCTTTCGAATCCGGAGAACGTGATATATCAGTTGTGCCTTTGGCGGAATTCAAATTACGAATCTTCCAACTGCTAGCTTGACGTGTACGATGAGAGTACTCAACAAAGCATAAAGCAGAAACATAAAACATTTAACACCATAAACATTTAACGTTGGAGGGAATGCGACAATTCTTTACATATGGCTAAGTTAATATTATTAACGTGTCCTCATAAAAAGTAAATTCCAAATACTTTTGGTAATTACTTAATAGGTCTTACGTGGCAATAAGTATGAGAAGCTTCAGTTTAAATTATCAAATAGCAGTACGTTTGATGAATTAGTTAACTAAGAGGTGAAAAATATTTGGTTTTTCGTTTTACCTAATAACGGACCACCAAAGCATGCTGATATTGCCATACGGGGAAATTCTTTTCTTGCCACAGCTATATTTGATAGGAAATCTGAAAATAAAAACGCAGTTAGTCAGTATTAATTCAGAATGATAAGAGCGAAAAAAATTGTATCAAAAAATTTCTTTAAACGTAACAGTTTATCATATGTATTTAGTTTCTCAATTACCAGCACTAAAGTTTACATGGACGTAACATATCAATTGCGATGTACTTTTCCAAATGATTAGATACTGATTTGAGTTTGGTTTTGTTTTCTGTAACAGAGAAAGGGGTTTATGTTTTATTGAATAGATATTACAATATTAAGTAACGTAGACTACAGATATGTCCTGCAGCATGTGCCTAAAAATTAAGAAAGATCAGTTTTTATTGTCTTAATGACATCAGTATTTATCTATGAAAAGATTTGAGACCATATTTTATAAGGAAAATTTTCAGCTTTTCCAATAACAAGGATTTAATTCTTGCACGCTATAGTCTTATAGAGATGAAAATTTAAATCTAGATGGAATAAATTTCGCATATTGCTGTCTGAAATATATAAAATTCGCATAATTTCTTGTGATACATTTTATTATTGAATAATCTATCTGTAATTTGCTACGGTGGTTCATATTAAAATATAATATAAAATTTTACTGCATTTTAATTTACAATGCTATAGCAGGAAAAATTTAGTTGTTATTTATAAATGCTATCCTTCTGATGCTGTCCAAAGTTAAGGCTACAAATACAAAATATGCGATATCTCGAAAAAATAACTGTTATAATGACATTTTGTACACAGATGCTCGATAGTATAAATGATCGAAAGTAAAATAAAAGATAAACAAGAAATATATATTTTACGATAAGCAAATGAATCCCAAAAGAACTACAACGTGCTGCTACCTCATATTTCTAGAATGATTCGGCTTATAAGGAAAATAACCCCAGCGGCTACTCCTGCTGTAAACAGATTTTTTTTTTTTACATTATGCTGCAACAAATTTCAAATACAGAAAACAGATTAGAATGTATCTGATATAAGAATTCAGGTTTCTAACATTGTGCCTGACATTAAAAGAATTTGTTATTCGAAGACTCAAACACATTGAAGTCATAGAAAACTAAAAATGTTTAACATTTTTTAATTATTTTTTTAATTAGTTTCATGTGTCATTTTAAAATTAAAAATTGATAAAACTTACATTGATATGATATAAAAATTGGAATTAATATTTATTTATCTAACATATCGGTATTATACTTTTTTGTTTAGTTGGTACTTACCTTTTGTTTGTGATCATTGAGCTCACAAACAAAATCATTGCTGCCCAAAGATCCTGCATCTTACAATGGACACCGGCTCATGTAAATATTTTTGCTAATGAGAAGGCCGATGAGTTTGCAAAGGCATCCCGTGATTCTCCTCAGCCATCCAACTGCCTAACCCTCGTTGATGCCAATGCGGTTGCCAGTCAAAGACTAATCGGTCAAGTTAAAGGAAACTCCATCCCGGAATTGAACTGTGTAAGAGCCATATCGACTATCATAACCAGACTTAGGACAAATCACTTAAAAGGGATGAGGATTTCTGCAGACGGACAGCGTAGTTACACCAACATTTGTCCTCATTGCCCAGATGACATCCCACTGTCTCGCCATCACATCTTCAGCTGCCCAGCAATCCAGGCCAGACTGTTTGACATCGGCATTGAAGACCCAGTGGACCTACTTTATACTGATAGAGCTGCCGAGGTTTCAAAAGCTGTCTTTAACAGCTTCGAAGCTATATAATTGCACTTTGTCATAGACATGACATCATCATCATCATCAGTGCTCATCTAGAATCTAAAAAGAGTTGCGCAATGAGCAAAGGGCAGGGAGCACTACTGTATGGCGTCGTGCATTTAATGCCACATATCGATGCTCTACAAATTTCTCAACTTTTGTACGACTTTGATCGGGGGTCCTGGTGATAGTTTTCATAGTTTGGAATTCGTGATGTAATCTGAATTGAGGCACTTAAACCATTAAGCGATCTCCATTTGAGAAAGGACAGCCTCAAGCCCATCGATGGCTTTCCATCTCCAATTCATTATTTAAACGATTAGCAGAACTCATTTTAATCGAAATCACTCAGTATTGGGATTTTTCTTGCAAGAAAGTTATGTAGTCGAATTTCTATAAATTCGGAAATCCATCACATTTTACGTTTTCTTAATAAGATATGGAGTCTTTTTAATAATCACTAAATGCTAACATTTACATTTATTGTTCCCCAACTAACAATTAACATCAGTTTTAAAACAAAAAAATGTAGAAAACAATTTCCTGTATGTATTTAATTGATGTATTTAATTATGGCAAAGCACACGAGGGCTATCTGCCTAAAGGGAGGGATGCCTTTCGTGGAGGACTTTCTAAGGGAAACTGGCTCGTATACACGTTACACATGGGGAAAACCACGAAAACGCCCATGCAGCCAGCCCGTTCGCGGGATTCGAACCTCAGACCGAACTACCAGTGTTCAGCGTCTTTACCGCTCGGCCGCTGGTGGGCCACACACAACATGAATGTACAATTTCCTGTAAGAATGGTCACTAATAAAAGTTTTTATTAGGAATTATGACTCATTAGGAATTAATGACTTGGTTATTAAAAATTTATAAGGAAAGTCTGTGAACAACAGTCAAAATATTAAGTTCTTAGCTCATAAACATATTAAATGCATTTTACAACTTGAAAAGGCATTTATTCAGAAATACTGTTAATTGTACAAACCCACATATGGCTACACAAAGTATTTAATTTTTTGAATTCTGTACCTGAAAGAGAATTTCCCCATGCAAGAATCGTCAAACCAAGGATGGCATCACTGAGGTTAAATATTACCCCGAAGACCTAAAGAAATGAAAATAAAGATAATTAAAAAAAAGTAAGGATTCTAAGGAATACTATTAAAAGAAATAAAAAATATAAAAGAAGTTTTGATACGAAAAATATATAGTACTTGTGTTCTTTTTTGTTTAAAATACTTCATATGACAATTTAAAAAAATGTAACTGACCCCATTTTACGTTTTATTCGCTCGATCTGTCAGAGTACTGATTTTCTATGTTAGACGTGTTTAATTTTAATTATTTTTAGCAACTGAAAATTCATTGGAAAGTTATGAAATATAAGCTTCCGATTATAGCTGTAGTTGCTTTCTTTTGACAATGTACTCTGTCTGTCTTCAAATGCTGTGACTTTTCTTTTACTCTGTAGAAGTCAAGCTAAAGCTAAACTAAATTTCATTTGTTGATGTTATGAGTGGTAATTTAAATTTTAGTTAATTACCAGAGGCGATAGCTGGCTTTAATGGAGATTGTAAAACAGTAATTATTTGTTAGATTAAAGACTGGAAAGTAGTAATGAATAGTAAAAGTGGTTTTGTGCCTTTAACGAGGTGAACTTGTTACGGTTGAATGCTCACTAAAACTAACTCGAATTTTCAAATTGAATTTTCACAACCCGGAGACGCTAAATGCCAAACCTGACAGAAGAAACCTTTTCATTCTATTTTACTTTTTGCTAAATTTATTCTTTAGTGATGAGTAATATAAGCATAAGCACTTAACAGCTTTTCTTAATGTGCAAAATGATTAAAATTTAGCACCTAACGAAGCGTCACCAGCGCATTGGAACCAAGCATCCTGAAGGTGTATTTACAAGCGAAATTCGATTTCAAAGGCAAAACTTCCATTAGATTTTTGTGCTTAGTTTTAGTCCCTTGGATTTTTCGCTTCTCCAAAGAGTTCACTCTCATTATGAGCATACGAGGTGTCACACACACACACAACACACATAAAAAAAAAAGGAAAACAAAACACCCGAGACTAAGTGTGTAGCTTGAAAAAAGAGTGGAGTTGACAACAACTGTTTTGGCGACGTCATGCCACACACCTTCTCTATCCATGAGGCCAGTTTCGACTTAATCGCGCCAGTTGGGAGTACTGCGTCATTGAGTAAACATGTGCAAGTGCATTCTGCCGGAAAAATGTCTAATGCAAACACCGAACAGCGAATTCAGTTCCTTGTGAAGCTTAAGAAATCAGCCACGGAGGAAACATTTGAAATGTTAACCGAGGCTGATGGAGATGACACTTTGTCTCGTGAACGTGTGTTTGAATGGCATAAGCGGTTTTCAGGGGGAAGGGGCAGTGTGGAAGATGGTGAACATGTTGGGCGCCCAAAGGCACCCCCACACGTTCATCATGATTGAGTGAGTTCCCAGTGGTCAGACTGTTAATCAACACTACTACACTGTAGTACTAAAAAGACTTAAATTAGGAAAAAAAGGCCACAGTTGGGGAGTGATGGATGGCTGTTGCGCCAGAACAATGCGCCCTCTCACAGGGCCCTATCTGTCGAGCAGAGTGTGTTTCGACCAGCAAAAACATTACTGTGATGTGTCATCCTCCTTATTCACCTGATTTGGCTCAATGCGATTTTTTTAAATTTCCTTGTCAAATCTTGCTTAAAGGGAACCCATTTTACCACAGTTGAAGAGGTTCAGGCAAAAACGGAGAATCTCCTGAAAGGATTCCCAAAAACCTCGTTCCAGAACTATTACCAGCAATGGCAGCACCGAATGCAGAAGTGTGTGAATGTTGAAGGGAACTACTTTGAAGGTGATAATGTCACGAACTGATTCTGTAAGTACAATGGGTTATTGGACCAGTCTCGTCCTTTTTGTGTCACAATCTGACCATCAGACTCAAAAACTGGACAGACTTATTGAAGAATGGCTCTACATTTGGATTAAAGCGAAGCAGTGATTACATAACATTGACAGTGATGGGTGAACAACGGAAAAGTAGGCAGCTATCGACTTAGAGAACAAGAAAACGGGATGATAGATCGACTCATTCGATTCATCTGCGTTAACCCTTTCCGGCACGCTACCTTTTAAAGTTGGAGTTTTGATAAAAAAAAAAAAGGTAGGCAGTCTAATTAGGTCTAGAGGAGTACACAAGTAAAATTTTGTGAAGATACACTTATCGTTTTAATTCTGTGCGTGTGTCCAAAGTGGGTACACTGATTGCATAGAGCTTCAAAAAGAGTGCTGAAACGAGCATTGTTGTCAATGAACTGACAGATGAGATGCGGAGAAACAAAGAATACAGACTCTCAGTTGTCCTAGATTATCGGTGAGCCCGGTCTGGGCACACCTAGGGTTCGCCGTTTGATTTTAGGCAAGATTTCAAGGTAAAAATTTAAAACTAATATAGAATAAGGAGATTAGCATACAGCCAAAAAAATAGCATAGAAATTTCTTTTCAAATAATTCCTTTTATACCCTAAAAAGATCTGGAAGATTTCTTTGAAAAATGAGGGTCTTAAAAAATTAAACATGGCTAAAATATATGGACTGGTTTGTGTTGAGCTTCCATCTACTATAAATAAAGAAGGTTCAGAGTAACCTATAAATCTTTTTTCATTCAATTTTTCTGTGCGTACAGAAGGAAATTTTTAGGTGTGTCCAGAGCGGACACATTGTGCCACAAAGGGTTAAAGATCGACGTGCAACCTTCTCACAAATGAGCAACCGTTGATAGGCGGGTGAGAAAGAGAGGAATCTATGTTCGTGCCATGCAATACTGCTCACTTTTTGAATTGAACTGAGTGGCCATCAATCGATTTTGAATTGAACTGAGTGGTGATAAAATGCCTTTAGTGCAGACTCCAATTTTGAATTTAATACCTATACCAATGCAGATGTATTTGGAGACGGTTGTGTAGTGTTGCTATCCCGTCTTTATATGTCGCACGTCCCAGAGGACAACGACTACTATTTGCTATCTGCGATGCCATTTTTATTTTACAGCCGGATCTCCTAGGTGCTTAACAGCACAGAGATACGTTGATAAAATGCTACGATTCGATATGTTGCTGTTCCTTTCGCTTTACTTCATTCTTACTTTTCAACTACATCCTGCCACACACTTGTACAAGTTGTTTTAATTCTTGCCAAATAGGTTTTGAACAGCTAGGTAGACATATTTCTGTCGTATATAGCACATTCGAGGGCTGATGGGGAGGTGTGTCCGACCATCTTTGAATACTGGAAGACTGACCCGACAGTTGGAGATAATTTGGCAAGAAATGCCGCAGAACGCCATCCGGAAAATTTATGAATCGGCACGCTATGTAACAGTTTGCCTTCAGACAAGGGGATAAACCAATGACTTCCTCACTTCGTGTAGCTTTTTCGTTTGAATAAATCACCCAGGTTTTTGCTTCTTCATGCATCCTTTACATTTACATCCCATCCACCAGATGTGATGCACATGTACGGAAGATGCGTATGTACAGAAAAGAGACTTACACAATTGATAAGCCCTCCTACATGCATCTATTTTTGAGTCTTAGAGTATACGAATATTGTTTACAGATTTGAATGAATTTTTGACTTCAGTGGGATAATCCTATAATATGGAAATTGTATTAAATAAGATTACCCCATCGATGTCTTAGCTTACCTGCAACAGGGCAACTATCTCGTTAGCCAGGCAGTATATCCAAGTGACTGAAACAGCAAATCCTAAATATGCGAATAACCAGTGGTAGCTGGGAGGTATGTCTCTTTCAGATGTGCAATATACTAAAACGGCGCAACAAATGCATACGCTGATTAGCAGAATGAAAACTGGAAACACTCCGCCGATCAGGTAGAATGCATCTGAAAAGGAATAGACGAATAGTTTAGAAAAGCAGCCGGAAAAGCAAAATATGATAAAAATACGACAATGGAGAACTGTGTATCAGATCATTTTATAGATACATTTATTATGATTTTGGAACGGAAGAAGTGGTGTTATTAAGCTAGTGGTATTACGTGTGGTGTTGTTGATAGTAACATGCCAATGAATACCACCACTATCAGCAATTTATGATATTTGCTGATTGATCTACTACTATCATCAACATCGCTGATAATAGAAGTAAGTTCTGTTCTTGAGAATTTTATGATTCTTTTCCTTCCAGAATCTGCGTATCTCCTCTGTACTATGGCGTTTAATTAAAAATTAGTTCATTGATTATTATATGAAATGTACATTATTTTTTTCTTTTTTTTTGGCGAAAGACGAGCCTACAGTAAGAAGCGTCTATTTTCAGAACTTTGTTGAATTTTGACTGATAAACTGCTGTAAAACTGTGAACAAACATTCCCTGAAAACAAATGTGCTGCCAATCGTGATTAATAAATAAAATTAAAACGAATGAAACTCTTTGTAGGAGTTTATGTTTGAAATTCATGTTCTACGTTTCTTAGTTTATTATTTTATATCGTCATTCCAATACTCCATCATTTTGGATTCAGAAATTAGAATTCTGAAATTACGAAAAATAGCCAGATAGAGTTGTATTGCCAACTATTGCCATCGTTTACACTCTTTTATTTGCTTCTCCACATTAATTATTTTTATTATTTACATTTTTTATTTGCTTCTCTACATTAATTATTTTTATTATTTACATTTTTTATTTGCTTCTCTACATTAATTATTTTTATTATTTACAATTTTTATTTGCATCTCTGCATTATTTTAGTGGCTAATTTTTCATCAATAACTGTTTTTAAATGAGTAGATTTGCATATCAAAACCTTATGGGTTTGAAAAATATTAAGAGTTCAAGATTGGCAGACAATTTTTTCCGGTTTCTTCCCCTCCAGTAGAATGATTATATTAAAAATGGGGTTAATTTTAATAAATGGGGTTTTTTATGAGCGGTAATATCTAAAGCGTATGTCGTGTTTATGTTTTAGTGAGAAGCATGTTTATTCCGAAGTCACTCTGAAACTTCTCATGAGTTAGAATAATTTATTAAAATTAATGATTACCAAGTTCTTTCCAAAAGTTAGTCTCTGAAAACCAGAAAAATCATATTTCATTTTTTAAAGTTTCATTTCTATGCTATTCTATAAAAATATATATTCCAATTCTTTCAACATTTGCTTAAAAAAGAGCGATTTTTTTTTTTAAACTGGAAAATAAGAAGCTCCAGTGCTTGCATTGTTAGTTCGTTTAAATCAACTTCTTTGCGATCAGTTGCAAACAATTATTTTTTCAAGGTCAAATTACTACGAGACCGCAGTTTTGAAGGAATGTCGGTGATGTTTTCGAGATCTTATGGAAATGTCAAGAAACAAGCTGCTTCTCTTTGATTGCAAGTAACAATAAATTTTTCTTTTCTATTATGTTTCTAGCATAAAAATTGTAGAATGTATGCGTATGAATTGAAGAGAAACGATACCACGTATATAGCTTATTTTCGGAATTAACTCCATGTTTTGTCTTTTTAAGATATTTCATAGAATAAAAGGAATGCAAACTATGAATCTTAGCAGAATGACTATTTATAGTCGAGGAAAACTGAATATAAATAAACGGATGAGCGTTATTTCAGTTTGCGTGTACAAAAATCGTGATTTAAGTGAACATTTAATCAACATCGTGAAGGTATTTTAGGTTATCTCTTCTTATAAAAAAATTGTGCAAAGTAATAAATCTTTTGTTTGAAAGGATTTAAATCGATTTCATAATATCAAAACAATATGGAAAGCAGCCATTTAAAAACCTGGTCTGGCATAATTTTTTTATACATCCAAAATAAAGGTAAAAATATACGTACGAGAAAACAAAACAATTTTGCACCGTTTATAAAATGCTTCGCACTAGAAAAAATTTTAAATTAAAATAACACTTTTAACTTTCACGGCAAATATCAGTTATGCATATAATGAATTAAATTAATTTTAATTGTATCAGTTAATTATATTATAAAAATAAAACAAAATTTTAAACAATTAAGAAATGTGTTTATCGCTTTTAAATTGTTAAGTTTGTTAAACAGTTACAGATTAAACTACAAAGGTAAATTAAAGATCTTATGTTTTGCTGAATGGCAGCACTTGGAGAGCATATAATGCTCGAAGTCCTATAGAATGTAATTAGAAAAACATTTTGCGAAATAGTAATACCCACCAAGTCAAATGGATAGTATATAAATGATAGCGTTATAGGGGATTTCATATTAATTAACCAGTTATTTATAACTCCAGTTTTTACTATAACTTCTTCTTTTTGTATTCCTTACTAGAATGCAAATGATTAACCAGTATTTAAAAATCAGAATTTTTTTTTGATTTTAAGAGAAAGAGTGTTTCTGGCATCGCGAGGGCGCTACAGTGTTAGTTTCCTGCTAGCTCTGGTTGTTATAATTATTCGGCTTTGCGTTCGATCGCTGCTGATACTTTAAATCTGAAGTTAATCTTGCGCTAATAAAGCGTACAGTTGAAGTTTTTGGAAAGCACAAGATTATTTGCAGGAATAAATGTATATTTGCCGTTAAAGATGCATTTTGGGAATAAATGCCAGGAATAGACGCATATTTGCATTTTGCAGGAAAAAAATGCATTGTGCATAATATATTTATTAAAAATGCCGAATACTTTTATAGTAACTGATAAATGATGAAGCTGAAAAATTAAGCAAAGTGGGATAATAATAATTATTTTTTAAATAAGTAACTTATCTATGATAGACTGCGGTTAGTTTTAAACATATACTTTACGCATTTCGACATGCGATACGCCTCTTTTCTTTAAAGAAAAAAAATTATTTGTGTTATACTAAAAACTTTTGTCACTTAAATAAACAGCAAAATAAACAATATCGACTTACATTCACTGACAAGGCTAATGAACACAGGTCCCGTTATGCATTGCGTACATATAAGGAAACGGTTCCAGTTTAGATCATCAACACTGGTGTCAAGTACGGGAACTGTTAATCTCATTATTAGAATTGCAGGACTCTGAAATTAATTTTTTTTTTTCATTAAGCAAAGAAAGATATTAATAAAAATGAGAGGTACAAAAACAATAGATAAAAACAGAGTTATTCATTTTAATGGAATGAAATTATTTTCGACTTCAGTACAATACATACTTTGCATTTTTGTCATTCATGTGTGAGATAACTGTTAATCTTGCATTATGCTCTTCACTCTTTTCCGCTTATTTATTCAATCACCTTAGACCTAGTTTTAATTATTTTGATAGATTTCAGTTTGTATTACGGCACATAATACGCTACCGTGCAAAACATATGCACGACAGTAATTTTGAATCAGCCATCTCCTTATGATTTTTCCAAGGCTTCGTCAGATCTCATCCCTAACGCAGTTGCATTTTTTTCACGAAATTCAGCATCTTAAGCTTTAAGAGCGTCATCTTTAGAGAGAATTGATATGGTATAAAGAAAATCCAGTTATTCACAGCTGTCAAGGAAAATGAAAACAAGAAGATGGTGGGGACCAAAGATGCGCCATGGGATCTTAAACAACCGTGCCGAAATCAACAACAACAACAATAAAATATCTTTTCTTCCATGGAACACAGGCATCTGAATCCAAATACTCTTAATCGTTTAGCTCCGTTCAGTTGATTGTGGCAAAGCACTCTAGGGCCTTAGGGAAAGGATGGCTTTCTAAGGGAAACTGGTTCACATACACGTTACACATGGGGAAAACGACGAAAATGCCCATGCAGCCAGCCCGTTTAAAGATAAAGTCTCGAAATTCTTCACGTTTTTCTCTCTTTAGCGAGATTCATTCTTCTTTAGTTGTCGACATAATGCTTTCCGTTCGAGAGAAGAGAGAAACAACTGCAATTTGGTCAAGTCCCTGCAGCTAAGCGGCGGTGAAACTATATTTGCTTTTTTTAAAACCCGAATTTGAATAAGGTGAAAAACTCCTTCCTCTGCCTCCCGTGCAACAACTTTTAAAACCTCGGCTTCTCAAAAATGAAGATCGTCTCTAAATCCACCATTGGTTTGATTTAGTTATAAATTAACCTCTATCCATTCAAATCCTTTCTTAAACTCTCTCCAGCCAACGAAGAAAAGAGTAATATTTTGCAGCGATTTTTTTCAAGAAAGAAGCCGAGGTCCCTTGAAAAGTGCCAAACCCTATCTTTTATGCAAAATTTCAGGGAACGTTTTCAGCCGTATTTCTGTCAGAATTGTGACATTGAAAATAATAAACAATTCAGAAAAGTTTACACTTCAGACGAAGCCGATATTTCTCTCATCTTTTCTCAAACGAAACACGTGTTCAGTGTTGAAAGTTAAGTAGTACTAAAAAATTGCTCGCGCAGACCTTTGAACCCGAGTGGGTGGCAGCATAAAAAAAAAAAAAAAAAAAACCTTCCGCTTTTAGCTACGCTATATTATATATTATCACTATCTTTTAGAGATGTAATGAATTAATCTCTGTCCTATATAGCCTTATACGAAGTAAAGGAAGGATATTTAACGTATCCTTATACGAAGTAAAGGAAGTATTGTAATTTCGGGTATCATATTTCAAAGAAAATATCTATTTTGACAGCTCTCGAATCCATTTGAAAGATGTTTTTGAGTGAGATTTTTACTTACGGACAGAATAAAGGACACTTTTCCTCCGGATCGTCAAACGGTTTTGAAATGGATTCAGAAGAGATTATTCTTGACGTCTGTACGTATGTACGTACATATGTATGTATATCGCATAACTTAAAAACGAGTAATCTCAGAACGTTGAAGTTTTGTATATGGGTTTGTTGTAACATGTAGTTGTGCACCTCCCTTTTTGGTTGTAATCGGCCCCACCAAACATAAAAATACTCACTTTGTTACTCTTCTCGGTGAGCTCAGTTTTTTTATTCTCATCTGTTAGTAAATTGTGCATTTTCCCCTTTAAAAGCGATTGAATTATGTTGTTCTTATGTTCTAGTTAAGGTTTTTTTATGATAGATAATCTGCATGCAGTAGTTGTAGAATTATCAACAATTAAAAAGTTTTTAAAGTGCTACTAAACCTAACGAAGCCGCCGTTTGTTTACATTAAAAACTTTTACTAGAATAGGGAATTGTTGCATGCATAATATAGAATTCGTGTTACTACAAGAACTTCAGAAATATCTTACTATTTGGAAAAAGGTTTTGAATAGTTTAGGAAGTGTTAAATCTTAAATTTGAGAATGAATCTAAATATTTATTCGCAATTTTAATATACTAGTTAAACTGTTGAATGATAATATGAGTGTCGTAAAAAATTTACAGTTTCAGTATTCTATCAGTGTTGTTGTGTTTAAAATTTGACAAAATGAGAAACTGACGTTAAATATCATTAAAAAATATTTTTATTTAGGAAGCTTAATGTTTTTGTGATTGCGATAAGTGAAATAAATTTGCCTACTTTGTTACACCTTTTATGTTATGATATTTCTGATTTCACCAAGTGTTTATTCTGCAGAATATTTCTTTCTGTTATTGAATCTTTTACGTTTAACAAAAAGAAAATTCTATTGTTGTTCCAAATTTCTTTAAAACATTTCTTATTCACTCATAACGTGAGACACATTGCTTGAGATTTTCATCATATTAAAGCCCTAAAGATAAGCATAATCGTTGATAAAATACTTTTTGGAAAATCGAGGAAATTTCTGAAGCGCTTATGTAATCAAGATTTAGTTTTTCAGCTTACCTTCACAAGAGCTACAAGTTTCTTCCACCATTTTAAATGTGGCCATTTCTTTGTGTTGATTGGGCACATTTTGACTAGGAAGTCCCAAAACTCGCCTCGATCTTCGGGAAATGTAGACGTAAGCTTCTCTGTAGATGACATACCTTTGCTTTGGATCGACTGACAGCTTCCTAACTCATAAAAACAGAAATCAATTTGAAATCCAAAGATAAAATTAAAACTGATTTAAACACAGTAATACTAGCAATACATTCCTTGTCAGAAAAGTTCTAAGACAATTTTTTTTTATTTCTGAGTTTTCAGTATACTAAAAAGGAGCAAATGTTGTTTTTATGTTACCTGGTATAGATTCTTACTTGACATGAGGTTGGCTATGTTTCCATGCAAACGTGCTAGGTGGCAGTGTGCTTAGCAACACACTGTTCGGATTGTTGTCGCATTCGTTAAGGTGGCACAATGGATGCTAATTGTGAGCAAAAACTGAATATTGAGTTATGGGTTAAGCTCGGGAAAACCCATAGTGAAACGTGAAACATGATTAAGGAGACGATCCCAGAGCTAGTCGCCTGTCTGTAGCACATACAGATACAAACGGGGAACATGCAAGGCAGTTATTGCAAGCAGACCGTCGTGCAACTGTGCATATGATGTCAGAAGAACTGAATTTGAATCGTGATGTGTATCATAAGATTTTTCGTGAATATTTAGGGAAACGGAAACTTAAGGCAAGAATCCTCCCTCACTCGCTAACACATGAACAGAAAGAGGAAAGACGAAGAATTTCTTCTAAACTATTGGATAGAGCCAGACTTGATCCCACATTTGTATCAAAGATTATTGGGATTTTTTTCTTGTCTCCGTGAGTGAAAAGGTGACTGAAAGGAATGGTTAGACAAGACATTCATCAAGATATTGCTGACATCCAAGGGCTGTGACAAATGTGCTTGCAAGCATCGCAGTTGAAGATTTCACCGCTTGCTTCCAACACCTCCAGGAACGGTGGCAGATGTGTAGAGATAGCCAAGGGAACTACTTTGATAGCAGCTTAGGATCATTACTTGGTAAATGCAATTTTCTATTTTTTACGACCTATGTCCTGGAACTTTTCTGACAAAGGATGTATGTCAATTATGTAAATGCCCTTGAAAAGAAATAAAGAGTATTAAATAGAAGAATGTAGAAATATTTTTCAAGTTTTTAGCGAGATTTGTGCACTTTGTTGTTATGAATAAGAAAATAATTAATACTCACATCGAAAGGAGGAAAGAACCTCGTTTACTTGTGATTTATTTAGTTTAATAAGATCATCCAAAGATTTTAGAAACGCACTTGTTTAGTGGTGTCGCAATATTAAGATTTTTTAAAATTTATATTACCAGAATGGACTTCATAGTTAAATGATTTTATTGTGTGGATATTCAGCTTCTATAAATATCTTTACATGGTTTTTGCTTTCACAAATGGTGGCCGTAGACGTATACTTCCACTTATAAAAGTGTTCTAAGTGGCAAAATGTTTATGTTATGGTACGTATAAATAAAGTCAGTCAAAGAATTTAAAGTTTTTTTTTAACTCGTTGAAATATCCCAATTGTAAATACCAAAATTTAATAATGCACATTATGCTGCTAATTTTATTATTTTACGAAAATGAAAAAGAATGCCTCAGTTTAATTTTAATTTAATAGAAATAAGAATGATATTCTAGGGTGTGAGAAATGGGGAACATAATTTGGTGTAAGAACGCACTTCCGACTCGAATGCTATCGTGGAATTAAAAGTCAGATGTTTTGTCTAAATAAATGAAAGCCCAATAATTAATACGCTTTACATAAAGGAAATTATCCGATCATAAATAATTATCCGATAATGAAAATTTTAAAGTTCGTAAGGTGTGTTATTTCTTTTAAATAATGAGCATTTAGGTACACGTAGAAAACTAATTTCTGTGTGCTTTTTCTTTATTCTTAGAGGTATCATTTTTATATCCGGCTTATAACACGCATCCGTAAATTCCGATCTTATTTTTTGTATTAAAATTGCGCGATAAACGCAAGAATATATTGTATTTATTTTTTAATCAATTCTGTAGTTTTTGCTGAAATAAAGTACGGTATTTTCATTTGTATTTGAGTAAATAACGAATTCAGCTCGCAAAACAAATGAAAGTTCGATAGTTGAAATTTTTGAAAAACTCGCAAGGTTGTAGTCTTAGTTAAGCTGAATAATTCAATTTCTGCTACTGAATATTTGAAGTTACTTAAGTGGTTCGGTTTATCCGTAAAGGCCGAATAAATATTTATACTGATTTTGCAAGCTTTTATGCATAACACATTATAAAGTTGCTTTTAAGTTTCATTAAAAACATTTTTAAAATGCCTATAATGTGCCTATAATACAGTGATTCTAATAACGGATTTTGAATTACTAAAAGTGAATTAAATCTATCATATTTTACAGTAACACTTACAGAAATTTATAGCAAAGATTTCAAAACGCTAATTAGGGAGGTTTTGAAATCTTAGCTTTTCATTTATGTATGAAAGAAAATACAGTGAAGTGTTAACTGAAATATTTCTTAGAACTTAGTATCGTCCTACCGAAAGCTATTAATCTTTTTACCAGCAGGTTGAAGGCAGTAACTTTTATCTTGTTTTACGCTTTGTTTCAGCCGCCGAACTTCAGATAAATAAAAGTTTTCGCGTGAAATTCTTGACACTGAAAGTGCGTATAATATCGGGAGGTTGTCGTACACTATGTCACAGAATTCTCTTTATAGCCGTTTTTCCGAAGAACCATAAAGACTACTTGGAAGATAAAAGCATGCAGCGTTTCACATTTTGAATCTGATTTGGGAAAAAGAAAGGTATCCGTATAATATTTCATAGCATTTTGCTCGGCCTGAAAATTTGTCGAATACTGACAAGCAATTCACGAGGCACGTATCTGATGATAACGCGCAAATAAAATCTTCAGAACGTTTTCGTTTTCTGTGCAGATTTATGCACATAAAATCAGTGGAGATGTGTGATCTGAAGCATAAGTGAGGAGTATTTAAAATCTAAAAATTTCTCTTGATTATTCCTATACAATATGATGCAGTACAACACGTAGATGTGTTGTACTGCATTGGTTTAAGCTGTCAAAACAGCATTATATATTTGATTACTCATTCCTTAATAAAATAACTGAAAATAAGGCGAATTCGTAAAAACTCTTATTAATAGTCAAAGGCATACAATGATTTTAGATGATACAACCGTATATCGTTGAACCTAGCACCAAAAAAATGAATCTGCAAAACTATTGCTTAGACAAAAATGTGTTTAAATGTTTCACGCATTGACAGAAATTGAGTGACGAGTTTTACATAAAATGTTTTCATATGCCTCTCAAACAATGTGCCTGTTTCTCTGTTTTTAACGCAAACAAGGATGCCTATAAATGAATACATAAAAAAATTCAGATTCGCGGTTTTTGCGTAGGGATCATAGTATTTAAATACATTCTATTTTCGTCGTTATTTTAAATCTTTTTCTTTGTTTTTATTTTTGATCTTTAACTTAATTTTAGTCTTTAATGTTATTTTTAGTTTTTAACTTAAACATGGAAAGACAGCTTAAAAAGTGCCTATGAATGAATAAATAAAAAATTCAGATTCCCGATTTTTTTGCGCGGGGTAGATGATATTTAAATATATTCTCAGTTTTCATAGTTATTTTTAATCTGAAGTGCTTTGAATGAACGTTTGCTTTTGATTATAATCATGAAAATTAATTTATCATAAACAATCCAGACCATTTTGCGTATATACTGTTACGAATTTTGCATAATATAAGTATGAAAAGTTAGAAGAGAGAGTGGATCTCTACCTGAAACATATGGTTACTGGGGGTAAGTCTATTTAACATTGAGGCAAATGGCTTTCTTGTTCAAATGGCGAAATATCGTCAAGCTGGTGAGGGTTTTGACAACAATTGCTTTGTTGCCAATCGCCCAAATTTGGCGACCATTCGGCGACATTTTTGTCCGGTCGCTGTATAACCGTAACGCAATAACTGTAATCGATCCCTATATGTAACTGTAACCGTATTTGGCCCTTATAAGTACGTGCTGTGTTTAACGTAAAGTGCTTCTTTTGGTAAAATAAATTACAGTTATTCCGTTACAGTTATACAGCGACCGGACAAAAATGTCCCCGAATAGTCACCAAATTTGGCGACTTTTTGGAAATTTCACGCCTTGACAATGATGATGACTAGCCAGTTTAACAAGAAAGCCATTTGCCTCAGTGTTAAATACAACTTACCCCCGTAACCTTATGTTTCAGGCAGAGCTTCCGTCTCCCTTTTGACTTTTCAACATAGAATGGTCTGCATTGCACTATCATCGGTTCTGTGTGCATTCAGTCCATTACGAACCTGTATGCAAGCAGGAATATGAATGAAGCTGACCAAATTATTAGCTCAGTAAAATATTAGTTAGTTAAAATTAAAATTTTATATTAACATATAAATTAATTCAAATTAATGAGACCACCTGTTGAATTACTTGTCATGACATGCAAACAAAACAAAAAAAAAAAAAAAAAAAAAAAAAATCGCCAATAAATTTTGAACATCCGTTTAGTTTGTTTAATGCACTTTAACTGCTAAACTTGCTAATTTGTCTAACACCTTAGTTCCCAAAGCGGTCGAGGTGGAACCCCCAGGGGTCCACGGGAGTCTCGACGGAGGTCTACATAGAGCGGTAGATTTAGTGGTATGGCTTGGAGCTTTATCCTGATGAAACTTAACACAGTGAAGATTGTTTGGATAAAGAGATGGGATTTCTTCTTTAAAAATAGATGTTAAAATATATTTCCGATAGTAATACGAATTAGTTTTAACATTTGTTTCTATTTTCCTTATTTTCAGTTTTCCGTTATAAGAGAAACCAGTATTAACCATAAAACATTTAGAAAAACTTGCCTTGTTTTCTCTGAACCAACATATTAAATCTTTTTCTCCTCTTTTTCGGTAGTAAATCGATCTTTTTCTATTGCAATCTGATAAGTATATCCAAACCTCTTCAATTGTAATTATATATTTCCATTTTCCCCCTGCCAAATATTTTTCATTCAGCAAGCTGCGCACAGTCTTATGCTGAAAAACAGGTTTCGGCGCTATGTTTTTTTTGTTTTGATTAGCTTTAAACCAGATTTTATAATTTTGTTCATAGTTGTTACAGAGATATTTAAAGACTTTGCAGTAGCTTTTGGGGAGGCTGGATTTTCCTTTAAAATATGAGATGCGACTTATAGATTTAACGTGAGCTGCACATACCTTTTTTGGATGTGCATGTTTTGCCTTTTTCCCGGTCAGATATAAACTTTGATGTTTCTTTCAAGTTAATTATGTTACTTGTTTTACGCGTAGAAATATTCAAACCACGCTTTTCACATCTTTTTTTAATAACTGAATAAGAGTTTTTCTCTTCGGAGAGCGCCTTCGAACCATTGTTTATTTTTCAGCGACATTTTAAAGAAAAGAATACTTTAATGCTGCAGACGATAATTAAACCTTATTCCAATTGGATGCCGGTGTCGTTTGTATTTTGAAATTAATATTTAAATTCACGGAGAAAGTCAAAATCGTTACAAAATGTGTAATACACATTCTGTATATCTTATTTTACATCATATTTAAATATATTTATACTCACCACAGGTACTGCCACCATTGGTTTCAATGCTAAAGACATTTGATTTTGTTACAGATGTCCGGCGGCCATCTACACGTATGTGGGCTGTAGAGAGGCGACGTCCTCCATCTAGCCATTCAAAACCACCGAAATAGAAAGCTGCGGAAGAAATTGTGTTTTTATTAAAATCACTTTTCTTAAGACTACTCAATTAATTTTCATATAAGCGATAACATCAAACTGCCAAACAAAATAGTACTCAGATAAAAAAAGAGTGCATTTTTACAAAATAAATGGTGAATTTGAAGTGGAGAGTATTTAATAAATTTTTTTTGAGTCAGACCGTGATAGTTATTATTATTTCCTTTCTGCTTATCGAGTTTCTTGGAACAGACATAATTGCGATGACAATGCTACTGTTCTCCTGCTATTATAAAAGGGTGTTTAAAAATTAGATAAAAATCACCCGCCCTTTAATGTTAAATTTTTATCACATATCCTTGCTTATTGACCAAAACTGATTATCTCAAAATCCAAATGTTTTCCTCTTTGGAAAAAATTTCTTAAAATTTCTTAAATTTTTTCCTCTTAATAAGACTATTATTTTTGAAATGAAATTGGAATTTTGAAATATAATTTACCGAAATTCAATGTTTTTGAAGAACTAGTGTAAACCGATGTTGGGTAATAGTTAAATTTCTGTTCGAATAAAAGAGTCTTATACATCTTTCTTCTAACATTTGTTTTGTTCCACAAGGCTAGAAGATAATTCTTCAATAGTCATTTTAAATTCTATGTGAACTAGACTTTATAAGATTATATGAACAAGAGCTTAATTGTTCCGCTTATTAATTGGAAAGAAAATTTTTTCTATATTTAGAGGCTATGGTTTTCTCTCTTTATTAATTTTTTGCATTCCATGGATTAAAAAGCGTGACGTAAAATACAATAATATTTCGAATTACTCAGTTGAATGTTTTATGATATAAAAAATATTTGATTTTGAACTATCATAATATTCTTCGTGGTATGTAACTAAGATTAAAATCGTCGAGCTGACACATGCTTCACACAGGCATTAAGACTTCAACAGACTTTCAAGGAACAGAAAAGCAATAATAGAGAAATGACATGTGTAAAAAGGATTACATTCAATTCGCTTAAATTTCTCTTTGAACTTTTTAATTTAAAATCCGCCATTATTAACTTCACATAATTTTGATTTTAATCAAGATGACAAAGAATATTGTGATAGTTGAAAAAGTCCTTTTTTATCTTTTAGTGAAACTAAACAAAACAGTGTGATTTAAATTTTTTATATACATTTTTAAATTCCCACCAGCTTACTTTTATCTTTTAAGCAATTGTATCAGTTTACATACTCTTAATGTGTCAATTATAAGTATTATATATTTTTATATTTAAAGACTGAAAATTAGTTATTTTAAGGGTAAAGATCCTATTTTCTTCATGCAGAACAGTAGATAAAGGGCCTTTTTATCTTCAAATTAAAGAAAAAAATTAAAATTAAATTTTAGAGAAGAATATTAGACGAACTCATTCAAGTACATTAAAATCTACAAAAATGTTAGCTTGTTTTCTCTATAAAATTATTTTCATAAATTAACAGCACAATAATATTAATTTAAGAAATCATATAAAATACATTTTTTTTTGGAAGCAGCGCTCTAATACGATGTCCTTTTGAAGGAGTTGCATTTTGAGAGATTATATAACATTTTTACTTATCAAGCAGTTATGTGATGTTGCTTGTAAATCTTTTCGGTTCACTGCTTGAGAACAACGTTTTCTGAAATTCACTCAACCAAGTGTATATCGAACGGCAGATGAGATTCGCAGAGAAAATTTATTTTGAAATGCTAAAGGTCAAATGTATGTTAAAAAAACTCATTCATGGGATATGAATTAGAAAAGTCATTTTTATCTAATATGAATTAATTTTACCATCACCATATTCTACTAAGTTTCAACTCAATCAGGTATTACTAGGAATTCTGTAGGTGGTATGAATCTTAAATTATTTTTTAAATTTGATTCCGAGTAACAAAAGGCTCTCGACGTTTCTTAAAAGATTTTGTGGAAACCTTCAAATAAAAAAAATAATAACGAGAAGCTTAAAATTAAATAATATTGATAGTACGTGATGCTTTGAAATAAATAAGGTAAAATTAAACAAGCTCTGATATTTTTTTTTAAAAAATTATTGACCATTTTCAAGCAGTGATTTTCAAAACTATAATAACATTACAAAACAATCATTTATTTGATTATATCATCATTAACTTATTAACATTAAAGTGGAATATTTATTTTAGTAATTTATAAAATTCGGAGCATAAAATTTTCTGAGCGTAATGAAGGAAAAAAGGAAAAAGTAAAATAAAATCTAGAAGCACTCAGATTTTATATTACGCCCAAAAGGAAACTTTTTTTTTAACGTTTTGTGTGTTACCTATATTTATTGAATATCATGTTCTTCGCCCGTAAACCACATACATTTGAAAACAGCATATCTTGAGTTCCGCACTGGAGATAAAACTGTTATTTTCCGTACAATGCTCGCTCTGAACTCGTTGAGTTTGTTAATCAAAAATTCGTTAAACTTTTACAAAATATGAAATAAATTAAAACAAATTCGAAATTCGGCCGTCCAGATGCCCATGCTCGGATGGAGGATTACATTATTCGAAATTTGATGGCTTTAGATACTGTCGTTTTCGTCACAGTGCGAGAAACATACATGTATTCATGCAAATTCTTCATTATTTAATTTCTTTAAATATAATACAGGGCGATAATATTTGGTAACAACAATTTGCAAGCAGACACGGACATTTATAGTAAAACAGCGCAAAATCCGCTTCGAAACTAACAGCCTTTCTGGCTACCCCCCTTTGGCTAATAAATTAAATTAACAGTAAATAAAAAAATCTTATGCAGAACTCAAATAAATTAAAAAAATAATCACTATAAAATACAAGCAAAATTAATTGTTACGGTTAAATAAATTTTAATAATAAATGTATAAAAATTATTAAGGAGTCAAAAGTGTTTATCACTATAATGTATTATGAAATATAATTGAAATAAAATTCCTTTATAGAAATTGTGCTATAATACTCAGTTATAATTTAAAAAAAAAAGCAGCACAATTTAGAATTTTAAATAAAACTTTCAAAAATTCGTTTTTAAATATTTTAGTATTTTTTACTTATTTACACCAATAAAAAGCATAAAATTTGTAAGAGAAAATTGCTTGTTTGAAATTTTCTATATTTTTAAAAATTAATCTCAATTTCAAAAATAAAAATATGTAGAAATTCTAATTTGCGAAATGCGGCGCTACAACCACCTTTTTCTTGTAATTATACACGCTGCAATAGGTAACCACTGTTAAATTTCTGCAAGTCGTCCCTACTCCTCCGGATGTGATCAAGGTGACAGCCGGAACGCCTCAGACGAGGGAGAAAACCCATTTGGGTTAGTCTATTTCTTATAAGGTCCATGGTGGCGTTTCATGTATTCACTTTCCCTGAACGGCCCATACAGGGAAGGCTTACTCCATTTATCATAACCTCTTTGATGGGCATGGCCATGCATGGATAATTCGAACCTGAATATTCAAGAGTACATCGTATTCGCTATTTTTGTAAGACATTTTGTAAAATCCCAAAGAAAGATTCAAAGAAACTCACCTTTCAGAACAACTGCTGTGGCTTCTGGATCATCATCATTCTTTTTCCCATTTATTTTCAATGTGCTATCATCAGTGTTTTCTAAGGCAAAATGAAATATAGATATTATTCGGCTTTTTACATCATTGATGAAGAAGTAGAAAGAAACAATAAATTATTGAATATGAGGGAAGAAAAGGGTAACAAATATTTATCCCTAGACTTTTTACAGTATTGCTTCGAATGGAACACTGAATGAAAGAATACTGCTTGTTATTTTTTTAACGCAAAGATAGATGTATAAGATTCTAGTATTTTTTTTTTTAAGTAAATAATTTTCTTATTTTGTTGTCAAGATTCTTTGTAGTTAGGATTAACTTTAAATGATTTGCAATGAATTCAGTGCACTAAATTAAGGATTTAAGATTCAAAAATATATGTTAAAGATTCAAGAAATGAGTTTGTAATGACATAGTAAGGAGAAATAAATCATGATCGCAATATATTTCCTGAAAACGATTTGAGGATACTTAGTATAAACAATTATGTTTGTTTTATAAAGGTTTTACTAACGTTTTTGAGCTTAATAGTTTTATAAACTACAAGGATGCTTTACTCGTATATACAATGAATTGTGTGTAATTAAAGAAAAGCACAGTTAGTTGGGGCTAACCAGCAATGGGCTTTTAGACTTCTGAGTTTTTAAGAGAATTCCAGTTGGAATCCCAAACCATATGAACTCTAATTGAATTAATTATTTAACTATTTACCATTAATTTAACAGAACTACTAATTTTTTATCTATGTCTTCATAGTTTATTTCAGTTATTAATTATATTACAGTTATTAAGTAGTTTATTAAACTTTGTTTAATTTTAAATTATTATTATTACTATCTTTTGTATTTGATTTGATTTTAATTATAATTATTTTTTACTTTTTTATTTCATTTTAATTATTAATTATTTATTATATTTTATTACATTTTAATACTAGTTATTTAATTACATTTTATTTTTATATTTTTGGTTCACGTTTCCTGATAACCTTCTGTAGAGGTACGGCATATTTAAGTTTAGAAGTTAAACTCTGTGACTAAAATTTTTAAGGAACTTTTTCTAATCGTTTTGTAAATATATGTTACGTTTATTATCAGCTAGACATTATGATATGAAAAAAAAACTTTCTTTATTTAACTTAAATTCTTATTCGATGACTAAATAATACAGGGGAAAAAACTGGATGATTTCATGAAATAATTTATATCTACTTTGCATTTCGAGCAGGTTTTGTTTGATTTATTATCAATTTTATTCTATTCCTGTATAATTTATTTTGTTCTTCTATTCTTTCGAGCAATATTTCCTTCTGTGCTTACTTTCTAAATCATCTTTACCATCTGCATTTTCTCCGGATTTTTCTCCTTTCTTTTCCTTTTCGGTCTCCTCCTTTTCAGTTTCATGTTCTTTATGTTTCTGTGTGTTGAGATAAATGAAGCGACTTCCAAGAACAACAATGATATACACGAAATACAGTGCGACGAATCCTAAAATAAAAAAAAATATCTTTTAAGTGAATCGCATTCTAGTTTTTTAAAAGATATTTTCATTTAAAATTTGTGCCTTTGCAATATGATTTCATGGCTGACTGTCTAATTTCAGTCACACTTCATTCGTTTAGTTCAGTAAAATCTCGAAAGAGAGAGAGAATGTCACACCAAGTAAATGAATTTGAAGCTATATAGACCTCAACATCTTTGCTAATATTATTCTGAAGACTTCTAACAACATAGATGTAAGGATTATGTTAATATTATTAACAGTCAAATTTTAAGTTAAACTTCTTTCTGTCAAATTCTTAACTTCAACTTATTTCTTCCGGCCAGAACGTAGTTTTAGAATCACGGCTGAATACATAATGAGGAGAAGCGGTATTTAAACCGCGAAGTTCTTCGGTCTTAGCGAGAGAGTTACCAGGTATTCTGTCTGCACGCGTTCGGTCGTACATAGGCTCTTGATAGCTTCGCAGTCAATTAGCGTTAAGGGGCCAACTCGGTTAGAATCTTGATAGCTTCGGCTATATCTCTTTTTAGTTTAGATTAGTTTTAGTTTACTTCTTAGCCTCTTGAGTTCAAGTCCAAGTGTCGGCTTTTATTGTACACTTCAAAACGAAGTTCTGTTAAATCTTATCTTATAATAAAGGGTTATTTACCCTTCCATCTTGTTGTTTCTTGTTGCACGAAATCAAGCGATTATTCGTTTATCAGTTCTTAAGATTCTCCACATTCTACGGTAATTTCTAATTACACAAGTGAGAATCCTTATATTAGACAAAGGGGTAATGTATACTAGTGGCTTTAGGGTGGATGTGGGCACTGAAAGGTTTTCTCTGTCATGTCCAGAATGGTGCGATAATTGATGGCTAGTTGCAGAGGATCGAAAGGATATAATTCTGCTTTTTCAGAGACATGATCGTGTTAAAAGAAACAGTAACATATAATGACCATAACCAAACGTATGAAATTGAAACCGTAAGAAAGTTCGACAATTTTTTTCGCTGCAAAAAGCTGGAGGAAAATAAAAATAAAAAAAGAACAGAAATAATTTTTTTTTTAAAATTATAGACTGCACTGTGCATTTTGTTTCGCTTCTATATTTTCATATATCTTTCCATTACAGAAGGTGTCATTGTAGCTAACAAAATATTATAGATTTTGGTAGCTACAACGACATTATTGATCTCATCTTGCCTTTTGTGTTCGTTTTATGTAGTTGAACTGGAATGCTGTAGTGGTTACTTTAAGTTTCTAATAGTTAAGTTTAAACATACTTTACTGTCTATTATCGTTTCCCATCTACTATTCCCTACCAGAATGAGTTTTTAGTATCGCGTTTTATGCAAATGAGTTAGAAGGAGTATTTAAGGAAAGCCCAACTTACTTCGAAAGAGAGACCTTAGGAGTCCTTAGTGGTGCGTGTTTGCCGTCTGGCTACTTCGTTCTTAAATCTGCTGCTCTCGGCCGTATTGTAAGTGCCTGTTAATAACCGCGGGCTTGGTTAAATTAAGGGCCAACTACATTAGGTGTTTGTGTCTAGCTTCGACTAAAGTCTGTTTAGTTTGGTATTAGATAAGTTTCTTATTTTCTTATCTTGAGTTAAAAGCTTTACTGTAAGTCCGAGAAGCGACCATCTACTATTATTTCTTTGAATAAAAGGGTGTTTTAACCCTTCCCTGGACTTGGTTATTATACACGTGAATTAGCGATAAGTCGCTCTACAGTTCAATAGGTTCCTTTACGTTCTACATAGACAAGGTACCGAGGAACGTTATAAAGTAATACAGTGGAATTTAACTGATCAAAGTACTTCTGCTTCAGTTAATCCAGTGCTTCAGTTAAACCAATTGGAGCTCCTGAATGGTCTCCGAAATTTTGTTTATCATTACATCTGAACAGAAAGAGACGGAATAAAATTTTGGTTTTACATGTGTCTGCCCTCTATGACGTTTGTCATCTAATCCAGATTGGTTCATACTTGAACTGAATGACAGATGTAATAATGTTTTGTTATAAGTCAATAAATCTCCAGACATGGATAGCAAAAGCATCTAGCCCTTAATCTCAGAGGAAGAAGTCAGACAGCAATTAATCCAGTGATCAAGCTAGCCAATCGGGGCGTGTTCAGACATTGGCAGCTGTACAGTTATTCCACTTAATGATTAGCTTTTGATTGAGTTATACGTGAATTTGTTTTCTGAAATGAAAATGGAACTCTATTTATTTGTCTCGAATTTAACGAGTAAAATTTAATACACCTGGACCAACAGATTACAACAACTATCACCCAATGAAGCGAAAATAATCGAAATAGTATTTGGAGGGTAGATCTGTTACATAGACTGTACACATTAAGAATTTATAAAGTCCGTAAGAATTCTTTGAATCGTTCGAGCTAAACTGCTAAGGAATCCAGCAGTTTAGCTCGAACGGTTTTCAGATTTCTAAATGGTTATTGCTGTAAGATTTATATTAATTAACCAATTAATATGATTTGAAACTTTACTATAACTTCTTCTTTCCGTTGTCCTCCCCATAATACATTTACTTGTTTGAGTATTTAAGTCTAGGGTTTTGAATCTTTTAAAGCTACAGCTTTTCGCATCCTCGCTTGCAGTTGCATTCTATCGCCAGTTCTGCAAACGTTTATTCCGGCGTTAACCATTTTGCTAGCCAGCGTTTAATGCGGGCTGGTTATTCAGCCAACTTAAGTAGATCATTCATGTAGTCTCTAAATACGGCAACATGAATTTGAGTTTCACTTGTATCATTTTAAATACTCACAAGTGCCGAAGTTTTGTTTTGTAGCACAACTAACGCCTTCTGTTAGATTTAAAGAGTTAAAAAAAAGTTATTTTAACCTTCGGAGGACTTTGTCATCTTAATTCAAACGAGAATAATAACTGGCTTGCCAGTTTATTGCTTCAAGCTTTTACGCAACCCTGCTGTTGTGAATAATTTCGCTTTTCTGATATCACGCCACGAAATTCATCATGCAAGGAGGCAGGATTGCGCCTGTCGTTGGCAACAGCCTTGGATATACAAGTGACAGAACGACTTTGTACGACTCGGTACATATTTAGCGTGCGCCATGCAGCACAGGCATTTTACATTTACAAATATCTATGTCCTCTCTGGGATTCGAATCCGGGCCCTTCGGGACGGCAGTCAGATTCACTAACCACTATCCCGGTTTGGCGGCTTAAAACAACTCATACGCTACAGGAATGTTCCAGAGAATTCCTTGGGACATCACTAAAAGTTCCCGAGAAGTCACTATCGGTATAAGAATTTTGTCGAGTGTACCAGCAAAATTACATCCCATATAGGATTCGTAGAAACTTGAGTTCTAATTGGGACTCGTACTACAGACGAGAAGTTGAAACGAAAAAAACAAACACAAATGGAAAAGCAAAGATCAACAAAAATACTTAAACATTAAAAGAAGGTCACATTTTTCAACATGCCTGTTGTGAACATGTAGATGAGGCGAATGTGTATTGATGAAATTATTCACTAAGATCTAAAATAATTACTTTATTTTTTATTTTAAAATATTTACATCTATGTAAAATTCTTTTAAAGTTTCTCACTGTTTTCTCCCTTTTTTTATGTAAGTTAATAATTTCTTCTTCGATTTAAAGACTTTTCTCTCTATCTAGCACATAGCTGTGGAAATAATTAGGAACACTGGACTGTCCGGACCAATCCCGGATGTCTGGTAACTATATTTATTCCACTTCAATTTCTGCACTGCAAATTACAGGAAATTGCCTTTTGTTAAGTCATCGAACATAGACGTTCTTCATTTACATTCGCATATTCCATAAGAAGCTTAGTTCCTTCTTTGCTATATATGTTTCCTTCTAATAAACAATTTAGTCTGTCACCTGTAAGGTGCTCAAGGCTGTTGCCAACGACAGGAGTATCTTGCGCTCCTTGGCACGAGGAGTTTTGTGGGCTCAAGCTGATGTTATTCTCAGACAAGTGAGCATATGTAACAACAAACAATTTAGCATTTACCATATACATTCACTCCCACGGAATGAATAAAAATGAAACAGTAAATATAAAAAAGTATAAATATGAAAATAACTGCTTCCTTACTTACCTATTCCATGATAAAGGTATGATGTACCAGTAAAAAATATCCCGAATGGCTAAAATGTAAAATCCAATGTCTCTCAAAAATGGACGAATCATGAGACTAAACGATTGAGTTAAAAACACGGAACCAGCTACCACTGACGTCACGAAGATTCCAGCTCCTGTTGATTTAAAAGTGACAAGAATTGTAACTAACTGTTAACTGTTTCACAGATAAGTTAACAAAAACTGGATCAGTGATCACTAGAAACGGCTCTACTTACCAACAAGACTGGCAATGGCGAGTTCCGCTGAGGCTTTCTGCAGGCCAGCTACAGAAGAAAAGATGTCTGGGGAACCATTACCGAAAGCAAGTAACGTCACTCCCTAATCATTGTTAAGGAACAGAAACTGCAAATCTACTTACTAATTTAAAAATATTTAAAAATACATGGATCTTTTTAAATGTGGGAAGGAAAAAAAATGATAGCACCAGAAAACGACGAATCATTTAGTAAATACTTCTCATTATTCAATGTGTCTTTCAAACTGTAGTAGTTTATTGTTAATCATGGCTGCAGAGTGAATCAGTATACTTTTTAATAACGTTTTGAAACTTTTTAATAGTAACGAAATTGTTAACAAAACCTGATATTTTAAACGGATTTCAAGTAAGGGTTTCATTGGTATTATAAACACTGGTATTGTAGTTAGTTGTATTCCTCAAAATCTTGAGCATAAAGTCAGAGAAAATAATCATCCGGATGATAATAGAGCTGCTGTAGGTTACAAGCGAGGGAACGTTCATCAGAGGTTATAATTTCCAATTTACGTTGCCTCGTTATTCGACAGGACTATTAGCCCGAGAGCAGTGAGACCGAAGAACATTTGATACTTCTACTCGAATTCAAATTCCGGGTCACTACATGGGGATTTTTGTCAATTTCCCCCTGTGTAAGGCGAAGCAGGTTCCTTAAAACGCTTGTGCGGCGAACCAAACAGCGATGAGAAAATAGTGTGTGCGGTCCCCGCAAGTCACCGTTTCCAAGTTTTTACGATGTATCACACGACATGACATCGCAGACGCAATAATTGTTCCAGCTGACAGTACAGGAGACACACCACCAGTGTGAAGAGATTTTAGCATTCTGCACTGTGGCTATCGTTAAAGCCTCTTAATTTCAGGAGGGTTGACAAACCAATGATCTTGTTTTTCCTCTGATATCATTCCAGATGTAACAAATCAGAGGATGTAAAATGCAACTGAAAAATTAGGAGGCGTGGCTAATTCAGTCTGAAGATTTTTTTCATTTGGAACAACACGTGAGAATGCTCCTGAACTCTCGACTAGACAGACCCAGAATGCTCTTGAACTTTCATCTAGACAGTACCTCGTTAGCAGGTCTTTCGCATCACGAGGACTATAATTAATTTCACTTACTGTGCTATGCTATCCATGAATTATATATATATATATATATATATATTTGTAAAGAGCTTTTCGTAATTGTAATAAATATGTTTTGAGTTCAAAAATGCAGTGAGTATTACGCAATCTCACAAATGTACTAATCCTTTCACGGAGTCAGAAGCACAACATTGCGCCAGTCAACCACACTTGCTATGAAGGTATCCCTTCCCTTATGCAGAATGCCTTTGCGTACTATACAATGATACAGTTAATCCAATTCTTTATTCGGTATTTTATTTATGTTGTATTTATTATGTGACATCATCAGCATTCAAAATTAAAATTTCTTCTCAATCGTCCTACTAATCTTCCTTCTCAGCTTATTCCCAGATTGATGTCATTGTCATGGTTTAGAGAAGAAAGACATCTTTCTTATTTGGGCAATCGTAATTTGTTAAATGAACAAAAACATTTAAGAAATTCTAAAATTTTCAAAAATTTTCTAGAGAACAGATAATTCCAGAATTTAAAGAATAAAATATTTCTAGAAATGGGACTCGAGATATTTTTACAAATCTTGTGAATCTCATGCCAGGATTTTGGAAAAAAATCCTAGTTGAAAACCAAACTTCAGCATAGCTACCTGGAAGTTCAACTGGATAAGTTAAATTTTACGTTATGATTAGTCAGATGGAACACATAATAATATTCAGTACATTTGATATTAACGACATAATTTTATATTCAACGAGGAGAAGACGCATCACTTTTAGCTATCCTGTAATGAATATACAAAAAATTTACCATCAAAACTGTTTCATCTAGACATTTCGCACGGGATTTAGCTCAATAACTCAACAATCCAAGTAAAAGGTTATATTTAGGATCCACTAAATATATGTGTTACCTTAATATGTAATTAGAGCATTTTAATTCTCTTTATGGCATTTAAATGTACAGATTTGTTCACATGCTTTTTTAAAGTGAAATTTAGAAAGTATAAAAAATTAATTGGCAGCAGCTTGTACGCCTGCGTGAAGGTAGGGCAGTATCAATTAATTAATTGCTTAAGGTAGCCGAACTTGTTCAAAAGGCCGATTTCGATTGAAAAACTCATTTTTTTATTTAATATATTTTAAGGCCATATTCTTAGCTATCAGAAACAACTTTTCTTGATATGTTGATTAGAAGTGGAGATATACCAGTTTTTCTGAGATACAACAAACCGGAAGTAACTTTCTGCCACACCGGAAGTTAAAGACTAAAGGGGAAATTAAAGGTGCAATTCCCACTTTTTTCTGTGTTATTTATAAATTAAATAATTTTACGCATTTTGATATGTTTGGAGAATCTGGCAAAGTATTTTCATTTTCATATGGCATTATGTATTTTCTCTTTTAAGTTTGGCAACAAAGTTTCAAACTTATTGTTTTGCTTACACTGAGGTTTCGGCATTTCGGTTTCGTGTATAAATTTCCTGCGCTAATGTATCAGCTAAAGATTCATTTTTCTGCACTTTTTTATTCTGTTTAATAATCGAAAGTTCGAGAATGATAAAATTTATACGTAGTCATTAAAAAAAGCGAAAATTTTACGTCAAACGAAACATTAAATATGCGACTGCTGATTCTGGTAATCACAATGGAACTGAAACATCTGTTTGTGCTAGTGAGGCAAAATTATCTGGAACATTTATTGCAATTGAAAAAAGTGATTTTGATAAATTAAAAGGCAATCATAATGTTGATGTTTCTATTCTTTTAAATACTATACTCTCACTTTGTCACATATAACGCAGGAGCATTTTTAGTGAAATTTGTGTATATAATGTCATGCAATAATCTGAAAACTTTAAACCTGATTTTTGATTAATTGTTTTTTTCATGATTTATGTTCGTGGATTTATGTATGTATTTTCATGATTTATGTTCGTTTTTTTCATGATTTATGTTCGTTATGCAACCATGAAAACTCTAAACTTTCATTATAGAATCGCATGAAATTTTTGCACACACGTTTTATACATTATTATGCGTAAAGTAGACTAGAAGTTAAAAAAAATTAATTCCATAGAATTTAAGTTACATAATTTTTTTTCAATAGCATGTGTATTTTTTTTAAAAAAATTAGTGTTTACTGACATATTTGGCCATATTTTGCTAGTGAATCAATATTTTCAAATTATTCCAGTTCAATGCATGCTTCCTGGGTATTATGTAAAATAAGCCAAAAATATAGATTTTTATCAACAATATTTTCCTGTGAGTGATGGTTGATGTTTTTATTAATTTTGAAATAAAATTTTCAGTTTTTTGCATACACTTCTCAAAATAATGATTTTTTATCGCTTTTGCAGTGATTACATTTTGAGTATAATTCATTAAAAATCACATAAATTCAAAATTATAACAAACATTTTGAAAAACGCCCTTCGAACGAGATCGGTTACTTTAAAAATGTCTACTGCTCTTGTGATGGGTTTCAAGTATTGTAGATTTGCTTGTTAAAAGTTGGTTTATCTTCTTTTGTATTAAGCAAAACATTATTTAATAAACTTCTTTTGCATAAAGCAAAAGAAGATTCGTATTGACATGGATTATGGATGGTCTTTCATTGTTTAATAATTGCATAACACACTTCAAGTCCGAAAACTAGAATCTTCAAGGTCACTTTGCAAGTGGCAGTGAAAATCTGTCGCGTATTCTAAGCATTGTATTCTTGATAAAATCAATCAAAGGGATATTTTCAAAAACCGTAATCAGAATAGAAATTATTTTTAAGCTTCGAATAAAAGCTGTTATAAATCATTGATGCAATACTTTATTGGAGTTAATGATTGTAGAAATCGAAAAGCAAACGGTATTGTTAATGACATAACGGTCTCAAAAAATACAAAGTGTTTTTGAATGCGTAATGTCGGTGGGTGTTAAGATGGAAAGGACTGCCAGTGTTATTGAAATAATCGAAAACAGCAGCTGCTGTGTATTTAAGAAATTTCTAATAAGAGCGTAATCTAGGAATAAACCATTCTGCAATTTACTAGAATCGAACTCAGTTGATATTCATTTGCTTGACGAGAAATTGCTTGATTTTATATACCTTTATTGCTCCATTCCCCCATTTGCCTCACATAATCACGTTGTGCACCCTACTTTTTTTTAAAAAGTTTTTTTTAAGTGACCCAAAGGGCGTTAGTCCAGTAAAAGGTAAAGGTAAACGTAATGGGGGACACCAGCGATGTACCATAGGTCAACTGGTAATGCCTTCCCATACTAACTCTTTGAAAAAAAAAGGGGGGTAATTGCAAGTTTTATAAGAATTTGCATAGACTGAAGCTTTACCTTAGCCCAGTAGGGTTATTAATTTCGTTTTGGCATTTTATGTTGATTCGCTATACACGGCAAATCACTTTTTAAATTGTTGCCGTCAAATATTATCGCCCTGTATTATATTTAAAGAAATTAAATAATGAAGAATCTGCATAATATGTTTCCTGCATTGTGATAAAACAACGGTAGCTAGAGCCATCCAATTTGAATAACGTAATCCTCCTGCGAATATGGGCATCTGGAAGCCCAAATTTGAAATTTGGAATCTGTTTTATTACCGATTTCACATTTTGTAAAACTTTAACGAATTTTTGATTAACGAATTCAAGGATTTCAAAGCGAGCAATGGCAACGTTGTATAGAAAAAACATTCTTATCTCCAGCGCGTGAGACTGTGTATCGGAAATTCTAAAGATAGGCTCAATTTAAAATTATTTTGCGATATTGCTGTTGAATTGAATTTTATGGTTTAAGTGTGAAGAACATGATATTTAGTAAATAAAGGTAGCACACAAAACGCTAAAAAAGCCCCTTTAAGCGTAACATAAAACCTGAAAACTTTCATATTTTTTAAAATTTAAGTTACAGATTCAAAATAATGAATAAAACTGAAATTTTTTATTTATTATGCTTTAAAGATATGTATATATATATATATATCTACATTTAAGTTTACAACACGCAAGAACTCTACGCAAGAGAAGAGATGTCTTCGTAGAGGAATTTCTGAAAGAAACTGGCTCATATTTACGTTACATAACAGGAAAACATGAAAACCAAATGCCAACCAGCCCGTTCGCTTGTGATTTTGCTTCACTTACGTGATGCCTAAATTTATTCTTTTAGGTCCCGTGATTTCAACACGCTTAGCTGTTTTTTTGCCATGAGTTTTCTGTTACATACCAGACCTATCAATATTGCTTCTCCTCGAGATCATGAAATCTAAACCCTGAAGAGAGCGAACTAATACCGCTTGAGAATTTCTGTATTAGTATAAGGTATTGTGAAGAAGCACGATGGAATATAATTGTAAACAACACAATACAATTCACACACAGATTGCAATAGCTTCTAAAATACTTTACTCATTCTTTCTAGTAATTCGTTTACTCATTGATTAAACATTTTCTCCCCGTCCAGCGGAGAAGCACTTATCTGTTAGATATTTGCCAGTGGTCGGTTCAACCCTTGATGATCTCTCTGTCTCATTAGCAATATTTCTGTAAAGGAGCGTGAGCGGCCACGCATTGATTCCTTTGAAGTTGAATATTTTTTTTTATATTATACAAATACGGCCAGGTATAGGATATTTAAATTCAAAATTGAAACAAAAAAATAAAATCTGAAAGCTTACAGATTTTGTATTACGGCCAAAGGGACTTTTTTTTTTAAAAATTTACATACACATACACATTTTGAGAGCATCGGGGCTAATGTTCTTTTGGGTTGAAAATATTTAAAAACAGCTTATTTTTAGAATTTCCGATAGACATTCTCACGTGCTAGAGGTAAAAGTGTTTTCCGTACACTGCTCACTTTCAAATCGTTGAGTTTGTTAATAAAAAAAACTCTTTAAAATTTTACAAAATTTGAAATATACAGTAAAATATTTAAAAACGGCCCATCTTATTACCGACAGTTTTCCGCGCTAGAGATAAAAATGTAGTTTCCTGTATAGTGTTGCCATTGCTCGCTTTGAAATCATTGAGTTTGTTAATAAAAAATTCGTTAAAGTTTTACAAAATATGAAGTACACAATAAAACAAATTCAAATACAAAATTCGGCTTACCAGGTATTCGGGTGTAGGACAACGTTATTCAAAACTTGATGGCTGTAGGCACTGTTCGCAGTGCGAAAAACATGCATACATGTATGCAGATTCTTCATTATTTAATTTCTTTATGTATAATTCATTGCGATAATATTTGGTGGCAGCAATTGGAAAAGTGATTCAGACTTTTCCAATTGCTATAACATAATGATTCAACGCAAAATCACGTTTTGAGGCTAATAGTCTTCCGGGATAACGCTTCTGAGGGCTAAAAAAAAAAAAAAAAAAAAAAAAAAAAAAAAAAAAAAAAAAAAAAAATGAGCATTGATTGCTTATTACTCAGAATATTGTCCAAGATGTATCGCAGAGGATACACCGATATCGCATCAACAAAATAGCGGGAAGACATGACAAATCTACTTTATTCGGGATTTGAAACACAGCCCCTTGGCATGTGATGACAGCCACCGTTAATTACCACTGATGCTTGGTTTTTAGTTTGGTTTATGTGATTATGGCAAAGCCTCGACGGCTATTCGCTTAAGGGGAGGATGCTTTCGTGGAGGACGTTCTAAGAGAACTGGCTCGTATACATGCTACACATGCGAAAAAAAAAACGAAAACGCCCATGCAGCCAGCCTGCTCGCGATATTTGAATGTCGGATCAAACTACTAGTGTTCAGCAACTTTACCGCTCGGCCGATGGTGGGCTACCACTGATGCGAATCTCATTCGAGTAAAAAGGCTACTGAATTTTGATTATACATAATGAGTTACAGATTGGTGTTATTTTTAATGCTCCTATAACTCTATTCGCGATTTTTATTTGGCAGTTCAATGCAAAATTTTGAAGCTGAAATAATATTATTGAAATGAATAAGGAATATAAAAAACATGAACAGAAAATATATACTAACATAAATTATAAATGCAGATTAATTAAAAATTTTAAAACTGAAATAATGTTATTGAAATGATATAAGGAATATAAAAAACATAAACAGAAAGCGTGTACTAACACGGAACCACTTAGAAAAAGGAAAATGGTTTTTACAAAGTTTGTCTGATAAATATTATAATCAAGTTTTAATTTATTGGAAGAAATTGCGTAATATTTTATTAAAAGAGAAAAACGTCAGGTCAGAATTTAAAATTAGACAAAAAAGCACTCTTAGACCAATGTAGACTTTTATTGAGAACCTATGAAATCTAACATTACCTTCTCGTTATTTTTATGAATTTAAATACTTCATTTCCAATTTTATGGTGAGGAGTTATTTAATTAGCAGTTAAAATACTATATCTCGTTAAAAAACTCGTTCTTTATACTTTTTTATCATTAGTAAAATTTATTTAGCTTATTACCGAAAGTTAATAAATTACACAAAAAGAGCATACTTTATAGGAAATTTTAATACAAATTCTCAGATGATTAAATAACATTACTGCAAATTTTTTACGAAAAAAGGATACGGCAACATTTTGAGATAAGCCTAAATGATTTGAAATGGTGAATAGTGCTGGACATAAACTACAAAGAAAAAAACACTGTTACAATTTTTTTAGAAATATGCAAAGCGTGAAAAAAGGCAAGTTCATTTCTTTAAGAAAGTAAATAAGTTAAATACATATTTACACTTAATAAATGGTACAAAAGCTTCAACAAGTCAACATCTTGTAATTTTCTTTTACTAACTAGCTCAGTGGTCTTTAACATGGGTTGCGTGCACTCTTGGAGCTGCCAAAAAACATTCTGAGATGTGCGAGAGAATCTTTTAAAATTTCGATGGAAACTATCACCCGGTCGGTAGTGAGAAACTTGAAAGTGCTAAATCGACGTTTGGGACAAAGTTTAAAATTAAGTTAGAAGACAAAAAGTTTTTCTAATGTCCATCAGTTGCTAATCTTAAGTAAGAGTAGGAACGTGGGGTAAGTTAAAATATTTCAAAAAGAGAGACACGAAATGTGTTACTCTAAATTTAAGCTGTGTGACATTGAAGGAAATAGCAAATCCAGCATTCTGTTTAATCTGCCCTTTTATAGCTAAGTTTATGTCTGCTATGCTTTCCTCTTCCGTTGCCCTGAACATATAGTGGCTAGCAATGCTGGTTGCCTTACCATTCGGCTCAGGTTCGAATCTCGTAGAAAGCAGGGGTGTTTGTTAAGTATATAGTGTCTGTGCGGCATAGGGACACTTAAAATATAGGCAAGCTGGAAGTCTCATTGCGTAACTTGGAGGAATTTAACTATTTTGCTTTATTTTCACTTTATATGTCGTACAGTGTTCTTTATAATGTTTTGTATACCTTTTATTATACCGTTAGATATAGTTTTTTTTTGTCCTTTACACACTAACTAGCCCAAGTGAAATTTATCTTTATTCTTTGTTAATGTATTTTGATTTAGAACTAAAATAATATTTGAATTTAGTTTGTGAAGTGAGAGAAGCTTCATTACCTATTCCCAAAAAAGATTATTCTCTGCGTATTATTATACTAGCCACTCTCTATAAACAACAAATCTCTAGTTTTGCTCTTCTGTGTCTTAACATTTTTATTACATACATTTTGAGCTGCGAAGCTTTCCTATTATCTATCTTTGCCTCAGCGTTTTTCACTTAACAGTAAAAGCAGTACAATTAGAAACGGGCTGATACGTTTTTGCAGACTCTATAATTAATCTCTCCATCTTGCCTAATCTCTCATTATTATCTGTTAATTTACCAGCAATAATTAGTAACTATAGGCCAGGGAGTATTCAATAATTTGATTACACAAAGGTTTTCCGAAAATTTCAAAAAATTATAATTACTATTTTATTGATTGCAATAATGCTCTCTAAATGGAAAAAAAAAGCGCTAATGGAAAGACTATTATGTTACTTATGGATTCACTTATACAATAGAAAAAAGACAGTGAGCAACAACCACAATACATTATATGTTGCAAAATATTCTCAAACCCCAATTTTAAGCAGCCAAAGTTGTTAGAGCAACGTTTCTCAAAATTTTTAGGTGGGACCACTTTTACGAATTTGAAAATTCTGCAGGCTGCTTTACTCTTCCTTCTGACCTTCCTACTGACCCTTCGAAATCGATCTTTAAGCATATGTTATCACCAGGATACGTATATTTTAAAATAAAATTAATTAAAATTTATTTAATTTTATATCCATATTAAGTAATTAAATAACCAGAAGGAAATTCATTTTACCTTTTAATAACTCTTTTTAAATAATTCGAGGTTTTTAAAGTTTCGAATATCATTGTACACTGCGGGGGGGGGAGAGGGGGCAGTACGATATCTCCCGTTCTACTGGGCCGATTGACGAAATTCAAATTGCGTTTTCCATGTCTCGAAAGCGCGACTTAGGATATGTATTAGATTTATATATAGCATCATTCTCACATATGTATTTTGACCCAAAATCGGACTATTTCTGAAATGACATCCCAGTTTTTCCCATATTTCAATTCTATGATTGAAATTATGCCAGACTACCAAGTTTTGTAAAATTCGCACAAGTAGTTTTTAAAAAATTAGCTTTCAAAATTTTAGCTCCTCAACGTTAATTGAGTTTGTTATATATTTATTAATTTCTCTTTTTTTTAATTTCACATTTCGAAATTTAGGTTCATTCCAAATAAAATTCACCCCCTTTTTATGATTTATTTTTTAAATTTGTATTTTTAAATAATTTTTATTAATGTTTCAAAAAATTTTGCATTATAATCTATCAAATGTTTATCTTCATCCTAAAGTACGTATTTCTAAGCATACCTGCAAAAAATTACAGTTTTTTATTCAAAATTTCTGAAGTTGTACGTGAATTTATATATTGGCGCATTTTGAAATTAGGTATATTTTTTGAAAGCGCTAAAACATCAAATGTGGTTCTGCTAAAATTATTTGAAAGTAGGAATGATGTGACTTTTTTTCTCTCACGCACATTGTGAAAAGGTAGAGAATGATGTGACTTTTTTTCCGTTCCTGCATAATGGCAGGGAAAGGGAAATAGGTTGCTATACATTAACAAGTTCGCCAAGTGAATTATACTTGGCGCAAACTGAAAAAATTGCGCCACGATAAATTTTTGAATTTCTTCGTAAATTTCGTATCACATTTTACGAAATTTAATATTTAGACATAATTTGAGTCGTAGAATCGAGATATGGAAAAAATTACATAAATCTAATATATATCCTAAGTCGCGCATCAGAGACATGAAAAGAGCAATTTGAATTTCGTCAATCGGCCCAGTAAAACGAAAGATATAGAACTTTTTTTTTTCGCAGTGTACAAGAGTAGCGAATGGACACAGGTTTGACGAAATAAAAATAAATATGAAATTATTATTTAAATTAAAATACAGTAAATAAATAAATACACAGTTTAACATCAGAAAATTACATGAAAACGAAAACCATCAAATAAGCTCAAATATTTACATAAATTTAGACTATGATCAAACAACAATATTTAAAAAAATAAAGCCTTTAGCTATCTTTTAAAAGAAAGCCTTGCATAATAGTTAATAAATTACGTTGTCTGACGATTCACGTTGATCTCCTGAATAAGCAGAATACCAGATAAAGAGAAAAACTTGAACAATTGCAAATTCACCAAGAGATAACAGATTAATAAAAGCGAACAAGGCAGCAAAATATTATAATAAATAGCAAGAAATGCATTGTTCTAATTCTCCGTGAAATAAAATCAAATATCTCAAATTTGGTCCTTAGAAGGCAGAATCCTTTAGTGGTAAAAATTTTCAATATCCAAAGATGCAACAGAGCTTAACTGAGTGAAGGCTGAAAACAATGAGCAGTTCATCTACTGCTGATGTAGAATCGCATTCCTCTCTAAACGTTTATCTAACTGATTAACCTCGCTCCTGGTTACTGGTGCTTCATATTATATAGATCCGTTTCCATATGTGTGTTACTGGAAAGAGATAAAGGAGAAGGGAGGTATAGGAATATTCTGAAAATTTGTCAGGAATTTCATAAGCAACATGAAATACGAGTATAAATGTAGGTCACAGTTGACCTTGACGGACACTGATGAGTATTGGTGACCAACAGCCTTAACGAACATCGGGAAGCTTCGACTTAATTTCAATAGCAATATCTATCTGAATTGATAGCAATATCTCTGCGGGACAGGACCGCTTCCGCCCTAGCTATGTGCTTTTCGGAATTGAGTACCGTAGCATTATCTCTATGCACTGACCTGTCCGTTGATCACTGGCGACCGTTGAGTCGTAGGTTATCGGCAGATTGAGAGAAGGAAAGCATGTTTTTCCATGCGACACTTTCTGCCAGGGTCTTTGGGGATGTCAGTAACTTTGAAAAGTCACTGATTTGCTTCTGTATAACTTTAACTTGAAATATCTATATTTACTAATCTACTCCACAATGGCGACCCATTGGTTGTCTTCAAAGAATCCTCAAATCAACAGTGGCGAACTGCTTTGGATAAGGCTGGTATCCTTTGATTAATTTTAATTTTGAAGTATTTAAACTTACTTCAATTTAGCTTTAGTGATCTATTGGAACATCTCCAGTGACCACTAACTTGTAGCACTAGCCTTTACGGGCATCATTGTGCTTCCGTTTAATTTCAGTTTACGTATCGGATGAAATGTGCTGCATCAGTTCACACTGAAGGCCAACGGGTTGACGTTAATTGCCTCTTTGGTCATAGAGTATCGATAACTAACACTTGATGGCATCACTTTGGAACTTTGCGGTTATACTGGCTTTCAGCAGGAAATTAAAATCCTGCTCTTGCCAGTTCCTGATGTGATCCCATGTGGGGCCTGACATAGTAGAAACCTGAAAGAAATTTTCTCTCGTGGAGGTAGAAGTGTGCTGGAGAGAGAGAAAGAGAAAAAGAAGCACTTTGCTCCTGTACTGCTACATCTTGGATGGAATCCGCCAAGCAGGGCTCCGGAAATAGAAACTTCGGATGACCTGTGTAGGATAGCCCGAATACTAACTGTTCATTCGTCGGAGCCAGTCACGTGGGAGGTCACCCTCCCAGAAACTGACCCCGATTGATGCTGCTTGAAAACCAGAAAACTGGAACTTAGAATTCTGAACTCAAGAGATGGGCGGCGAATGGACGGAGGTTTTTGTCTTCAGCCAGGATTTCGTAGATAAGAATGTCCGTGAAATTAGCGGGATTCACATTGATAATATTATTAAAAAAGTTGTTGTTTATTCTAGGTAGGTGAGGTAGTCCTGAATAGTATCTATTTTCAAGTCGGAGTGGAGGGTCTTATTCCGAACATTGTAAGGAGCTTTTGTGATGATTCTTAGCACCTTATTTTGAAGCACTTGGAGTTTGCTAATTTCGTTTGCTTTGTAGTTTGTCCAGGCTGGGGAAGCATACGTGAGAATAAGTCGGATTACAGTTTCATAAATCCTCTTTTTCAGTCTGAGGGTGAGGTGATGGCATCACTGTGCTTGGATTTAATTTAAATACATATCCAAATATATCTTATCGCCTTCACCGATTGGTCGATTTCAAATGATTCTTTTAACCTGCTAGTCATCTGAGATTAACAGTCTTGAAGCCTTGATCTTTGATTAAGTTTTAACATTAATATTTATCTAAACTTACTCTTATTGCACCGCTCTAGCAACATAGGAGTATTTATGATCTACATGACTATCAACATGAGCAATAGTCTTGACAGGCACGGATGTTCCTCGGTCATATTTAATGTAAAATACTGTCTTTGTTTAGTGCATTGCCCGACATAAATGACCTATATGTTGACGAAAAGTGACTGTCAAACTTAAGGTGACAAATGATCAACGCTCCAGATGGTCAATTTTAGTTTAATTTTTGTTTTGATAGTAGTGTACTTAAACGATATAACTTTTACATATAATGGTATTTATTATTCATGGTGCTATTCTGAGGGGATTTAAATCCATATAAAGTATACATATAGAGGGTGTTCCATAAATGTTGAGACAAATTTCTGGGGAAGGTAGGGCACATCATAAGGATTAAGTATTGCATAGGAACCCATGCCCAGAAACGTCACTGTATGAAGCCAGGGGGTGCTGAACAGGAAAGTGCTAGTGGAAAGTGAGGATTGCCTCATTCGAGCGGTAGGCTCCATGAGAAGAGCATGGAACGCTCTACGAGCGGAGAGCTTGCAGACAATGCACTTAGTGTATGGAATGGCTGAAGATAATGGACGAGCAGCTGCATGCATCTATCGAGAACGCTTCTTCGACAGACATCAACCACACCCCAGTTTGTTTACACGGCTGCATCCAAACTTGTGTGATTGGACGTCATTAAGAAGTGGCAGAACAAGTGAGGGTAGGGCAAGATCGACTCGCTCAGTCGTTAGAAAGAAAGTCTGTTGGATACGGTGGAGAGTAATCCAAGGACCAGCATACGTGCCATTGCCTCTCAATTAAGAATGTCTCGTACCAGCGTACAGCATGTCTTGAACGCCGAGTCCTTCCACGCCTTTCGTCTCCAAAGGGTTCAGTTACTAATCCCCCATGACCATCTTGAACGTATGCGTTTCATACAGTGGTTTCTGCAAGAAAGTGCCCGTAATGTTAATTTCCAAGCTTATGTATTTTTCACAGATGAGGCCACATTCAATAGGAATGGCGTATTCAGTTACTACAATCAGCATTTGTGAGCTCAAGACGATCCCCCACGGTGTGCGGCACTCTGTGGTACAACAACGCTCCAAAGTTAATGTATGGGCGGGTTTGGTGGGTGACTGCTTAATTGGGCCGTACCTTTTACCATCCATGTTGAATGCCGCGAATTATCTGATCTTTCTAGAGTAGGTTCTTCCCGGCTTGCTTGACGATGTTTCATCAAATTTGAGGGGCAGCATGTGGTTCCAACATGATGGGGCGCCTGCTCAGTTTGGACTGGATGTTTTCGTAGCCATTTTAAGCAGATCATTCCCGCATCGATGGATTGGGCGTGGTGGGCTGGTTCCCTGCCCCCCTTCGCTCACCGGATTTATCGAACCTTGATTTTTTTTTTGTTTTTGTTTTTTGTGGGGAACCATCAAATGTGTCGTGTATCATGATCCTGTTGTGACTGAAATGGATCTCGTGGCAAGACTCGTCTGCGCAGCTGCTACAATCGTAGAAACTTTTACGATTTATGGCATTGTATTTAATGCGCTTTCATTACAAAAGTATTGAGAATTAATTATTCTAATTATTAGTTAATTTCGTATTCTGAGTTTTCTATTATTAGGATATTTTAGCTAGTGGTCGCTGTTTATATACTGTTATACAATTCTGTTGTATTGGTTGCGTGTTTAACTACGTGTATGTAATAGAAACTATGAACTTGTTTGTTTGAGGCTTATCCCACCGATCGACAAAACAGACCAGGTCTTTAAAATCAGAGCAAGCCCACGAAATTCATTGTGTCATTGGCTCAAGATTGCGTCTGCCGTTGGCATGAGCCTTGAGCACCTTATCGGTGACACCTTATCCACTTTGCTCATTTTATCGACAGAAATTTGTTAGATTTAAGGGATTCAAATAAAAAAGCAGAAGCCAGCAACAACAACAACAAAAAATTAAGAATATTGGAAATATCAGAATTTAAAGGAGATTTTAGTATCTATCATATATACACACAAGTATTTGAAAGTTTGTTTAAAACAAATATTATGGCATCGGATATTAAAAAATTGGTATGTAATACTGGAAGATATGAACTTAGAAAAGAATTCAATACTATTAGTCAGAGTTAAAATTTCGCCAATACAATTATATATGTGAATTAACAAACGCAGAAATTTTTTTTTATACTTACAAATAATTTGATGTTACTCCTAAGGCAATAAATAACATTAAAAGCCATATTACCTGAAAAATAAAAGCATTTATTGAATATAACTTCAGTAGTTAGTAATTATTTACAAAAGACATGCAATGAATTTCGTAATGCAGAACTTTGAAAACTGTAACCAAAATTCTAAAGAAAGTTTCTAAGCAAATTTGGAAGAATGAGTCTTTTAGTAAATGCTTGAGTTATCGCAAACATTTTAAAGGAAAATAAACAATAGAAAAAATGTAAAACAGACAATAAATTTTAAAGTTTTTTAAAATAATAAAATTATAATAAATAATATAACAGTGGGCATTTTAATTATTTTAGACATCTTAGACGCATGTCTGCTGGTAAAATAATGAAAGCATTGTTGACGTACTAGAATGTTTGAAAAAGATTGTTATAGATTTTATTTCCTTAAGCATTTACCCTAATTGACAGAGACTTCTATGTAAATAATTTCAACAACTGCGCATGGGAAGGTCCCATAAATATAAAATCTAACTTTTTATATTACTTTAATAAAATAAAAGTACCAATAAATAAAGTATTTTTTATGCCGCGTTAAGTTAAGCATGCAAAATTCCATAAATTTAAATGTGAAATTCGCAGAGAAATGCTTAATTAATATTGCCATGTATCAGCATACCAATTCAATACAGAATATTGTTTTACCCGTTACAGAAGAAGAAAATAACTTATATTTCCTCCTTATTCTTGAAGGGCCACCAGCGGCCGAGCGGTAAAGTCGCTGAACACTGGTAGTTTGGTCCGGGGCTCGAATCCTGCTAACGGGCTAGCTGCATGGGCATTTTTGTGGTTTTCCCCACGTATGACGTGTGAAAGAGCCAGTTTCCTTAGGAAGTCCTCCACGAAGGCGTCCCTCCCGTTAGGCAAATAGCTTTCGAATGCTTTGCCATAATTAAATAAACCAAAAACCAAACCTTATATCTGATATACTCTGTTGTTGGCAGTAAAAGGTGATTTAATTCACTACAAACTTTGCATATAAATATATCAAGCTTAATGAATATCGTATTAAGAGAGCTATATTACCATGAAAATTTGATATTTACAGAGTCATACCACCCACGCTGTTGAGTGCGTTTCATAAAATTCATCATCTTATTTTAAGGAACTTTATCAATTGCAGGCGTAAACTGGAAGCACGCGTTTAAGGTTTAATATCTATATAAATAAAGAGTATAGTCCTTTTGGAATACTATTATAATGTATTCAGAAATTTTTCATCAAGCATTTGAATAAGTTTTACCTCTGGAGTAAGAATAACAGTACTGTAAGATGAGTTACCTTTTGGGCAAATCCTTTTTGATAGCAGATAGTTTACAGCAAACTTTAAAAAGAATGGTATTTTTAAAAGAGTGTGTTTTTACACTATAGTATTTTTACTCTATGGCTATTTTTTTATCAATGATTTTATTGACTGTTTTAAAAGAAACTGAGTGGTATTTCCGTTACACCTAGGGTAAAGTGAACAGACATCCCGGATTGCACAGGAAAATCCTGAATTTCAGTTCAGTGTCTTGTTTCAGGATATGTTCGGACATACTCCCATTTTGTATAAATATCCTCAGATTTTATAAGCATAGCTGTCACGAAATTTGTCAATACCGCTTCATATAGTCACGAAGATGCTTCTCTCAGATCGGAAATACGTATATTCAACAATCAAATAATCATGTTTTACTGATTTACATTTTAGGAAATTCGTCGAATAAAATAAGAAAAGGGGAAAAATAGCTTTGTAAAAGAATTTTTGGATTCCTATGCTTATTGTTTTTTGTACCATGAAAATGGGCAAGGAAATTAAATTACCTGAATACATTTAAACTGATCACCTTTCGAAAATATAGTACAATGTCAACACGGGAAGAAAAGTTTAAATCCCGAAAGAAAATATTTTGATGAAAGATAATTGTCTTATAATAAGTTATCAAATTCAAAGTAATATTTCCTTTAAAAATATATGAAATGCATTCGAAAGTAATTTTCCGAGCATAAAACTGGAACTGAACAAAATGGACAGAGATCTTTTTGATCAACAGTTCAATTTATTTCAAATCTGGAATCAGTAACCGAACACTGCTTACTCAAAATACTTGTAGTAACGTAGTAATAACATTCGATTAAAAATGCAATGGAATTTCTCATGGTGACCAACCACCCTTGACACTATGTTTATAAAACCATAAATAGGTATTATTGTTGAACATCATCGATAGACTTAATCTGTCGATTCTGGGATCACGTTCACAGAAAAATAAAATCGTTTGTAACCATGAAGTGTGCTTTATTTTTATTGATAACACGCGAATAACAGAAAAATCTCAACTAAACATATTAATTGTATGAAATAATAAGGCTATAATTTAAAATTTGTCCGTATTGGTTTTGATAAAATCCGATAATTTGATAGAAGCTTATGCAATTAACTGTACTAGTTGCTGCGAATAGAATCCGGAATAAACAGCCCACCATCGATCGAGCGGTAAAATCGCAAAACACTGCTAATTTCCGACCTGGGTTCGAATACAGGTGAACGAGCTGGCTGCATGGGCGTTTTCGTGGATTTCCCGATGTGTAACGTGTATACGAGCCAGTCTCCCTTAGAAAGTCCTCCCCGAAGGCATCCACCCTCTTAAGCCTAGCGTGGTTTGCTATAATAAACCAAATCAAACCGGACTGAACGAGTATCTCGAATTTTAAAGCTTTTTTTTAACTTTTAGACTCTTTCTTACATTTGATCATTCATATGGTTAAATATATAATATTTAAAATTATTTCATAAATTTTAAGTTTTCAATGATTGGAAATTAATAGCATTAATTCTTATATTCGTATGGGAATAAGGGTTTATATAGTTTTTTCTAATTGAGGATTACAGTTCTATACTTACATATTAACGCAACTACCTTAGTAGAAGTCGCCAAATTTATAGAATGTGCCAAACTCTAGCAAAACATTCTTCCGGCAACCATCTATTAACTACCTTTCAGTCAAGCAACGTCGCCATTTTTGTATGCGTTTTTTTTGGTGTATTCCAAATTCCAATGGTTTTTATACACAAATCGTGATATTCTTTTGCTTTAAACTTAGTTTTAAAATATAAGCTTGTGAAATTTGCCAGGAATGGAAGAAACTATGATAAATGTTTTGCAAGAACACAGAATTTTGCTGATAATTTTGGAAAGGGAACAACGAGAAAATGCATTTCCTCCATTTCCGCTGTTGCCCAGGATTGCACAAAGACGAGTCTCCGTTATTTTCTGATGATTTTTTTAAAGATAACAGATTGCTGTATACTTCTGAAGAATTGGAAAAAAAAAAAAAAAAAAAAAAAAAAAAACTAGAGAGAAAGGTTTTGAAGAAGAATGTAAGTGTTTTATTTTTAAAATTTTAAAATTTATCATGTAAATCTTATTTAATTATTCAGATTTGTATTTTAAACTGCTTAGGTATGTTTTCTTTTCATACGGTGATAATATTTATCGACTTAACGATAAATATCGGTAGTTTGGGAATCTTTCTAAAAAAAGAGCGCGAAAATCACCAGCTTGCACCCAATAAGTAACTTTTATTTTTCCAAATCTAAAAAATCTCACCGATGCACCAACGGGGTTGCTTTAGTGCGTAAATACGTACAAATCATAGTGATTACTTCTAAAATTTAATTAAATTATAATATGTGTAATGCAATTAGCAGTATTTTTGCATGGCGATTATAATTTGGAATTATTATGCCAGGCATTTAAATGACGAGGTATGACATGCTTAGTTAAGTACCTAGAGAATCTAATTTTGAATAACGTATTCCTCCATTCGAATATGGGCATATGAAAGATCAAATTTAGAATTTAGAATTTGTTTTATTATGGGCATATGAAATTATGTTTTATTATGGGAATATGGGCATATGAAAGACCAAATTTAGAATTTAGAATTTGTTTTATTATCTATTTCATATTTTGTCAAACATTAAAGAATTTTTGTTTAATAAACTCAAACGATTTCAAAGCGAGCATTGTTTAATTATTGATTGATTTAGTTAAATGCGCACAGAGAAGTTAATTAGGTCGCTCAAATAAAGTACACCGATTTAATAGCTACTAACTACTTATTAATTTGAAAATATTAATACTTAATTTCTAATGTTAAGTAATTAAGACTATTAGTAATTAGTTACTAAATTATGTTGTTTTAAACCGTTATCATTACTGAAACCTAGTTGTCTTCAAACTGTGTTCCACGGAACCATGTTCCAAGCAATTTATCTAATTCTTTTTCAACAATTTTGATTTTTCTTACTGTTATTGTTACATAAATAATATGAAGTATAACTGTTTCATGAGTAAACTTTAATTAAATAATAATTTTGTTTGTATGTTTGACATCAATGACACGAAATTTTGATATATTTTCAATGATTCTTTTAACGTTTCTTCTCATGAATGTGGTAAGGGTTCCATGGTTAGTTCAGTTGAGAAAGGTTCTAGCATAACAATTTTAAAATAAGCCACGCTAATCTCTTTGTTGGTATTTTTAAATCAACATTTTACAGTATTGCAAGAGAAATGCTAATAAACATTAATTGCTTGTTTTTAAATCTGTTTGCAGAGTCATTTTAAAGATAATTTTTAAAATTATGAAGCTGCATTAGAAAGTACTTTTTAATTCACGTTATTTCATACTGCTAACGGAACATGCATGTCCCACTAAAAGTTTAAAAGTTACGATTAAAAAGTACTTAGAATCTCCTAAATGTTGAGGATCATCTCACAATAGCTGGAAAACAAAATGCCGCTGTGCTCGTTGTACACAATTGAACACAGTGTGTGTGTATTTAATTATGGCAAAGCACACTAGGGCTATCTGCCTAAGAGGAGGGATGCCTTTCGTGGAGGACTTTCTAAGGGAAACTGGCTCGTATACACGTTACACATGGGGAAAACCACGAAAACACGCATGCAACCAGCCCCTTCGCGGGATTCGAACCTCGGACCGAACTACCAGTGTTCAGCGACTTTACCGCTCGGCCGCTGGTGGGCCCAAATGAACACAGAGAAAAGAATAAATATGAGTTGCCCAATGTGAATGTTTGGTTATGCACGTTTTACCTTGTATCATACGATGTAAAATCCATTTCATATAATAAAGTTTTCCAGAATAATAAGTGTGCTTATAGTAAGTCGATCGCTACGTGGGGGACATATGTATCCCACCATTAACTACGGCTAGGACATAAGTGTCCCAGCCTTTGGCTTGAAAACCGTTTGCCTAGAAAGTCGCAAATACTAAATTTACCTTTTTATGACATATTTTGTTCACTTCGATAGAAAACAGAGAAAATTTATCTTAAAATTCGTAGTCAAAGGATTAAAAACCTTTTATACTTTTTTAACATTTTGTAAATTTAATACTATACATATATACGATTTATATACATTCGTCATTGCATATTTTTAATACCATTACTTAAATATGTAGTATTAAGAAATTCTGCATTAGTAATACCAATATTAAAATATGCAATATTGATAATTATGTATTTTTTACAATGGCTCAGTATTCATAGGAAAAAAAAAAAACAACTAGTTTAATCCTCTTGTAAAATAAAATGGAATACAAAATGTAAGGAACTTACAAGTATAGTTGTAATGGGCGCTATTCGTTTAAAACCAAAACTACAGAATACATAGTAGTTATAATCCAGGTATTCTATAATTTCTACGCAGTCCTCTGCTGTCATAGCAAACATACATTGCACACTAGCGTTGAGGGTATGGATTTCTGTACACTAGAAAAGAAAAATAAATTAAATAAATTCTTAAAGCATCAATTTCGGAAAAGTACGGGCCATAACACCAACTGACTAAAATATAATACATAAATATAGGTAAGTAATTTAAAACAACGTATAAACCTTAGCTGAAGTGTCCAGATTTTTCATCATACATTCAAGAAAAGTTTTATTTTGAGACGGTCGTGGGTGAAGATAATTAACGTAGTGGTGCTTTCAAAAACTGGGACAATGGCAGTTACGTGGTTTTCACCTTCTCATAGATCTTTCTTTTATTGTCCATGAATGAATGGTATTTCATCCGGTTTTTTTACGTAAGATGTTGCGAAAAGTGAGAAAACGCTTTTTTTCCTATTATTATCAGCAAAGAAAATTCTACAAACACCTAATACTAGGGATGATACAAAAAATTATATTTGAACAGAACTTCGTTAACAGAGTTCTTAAATCAAACTTACCTTCAAGGAGAGGACAATAGTTAAGGAAAAGACAGACATTATATTTTTAATTTTAGTATGAAACTCAATTGCTGAATAAAATTATTTTCCACTTGTGAACTTATAACCAAGAGAAAAAAATAATTCATTCATTAGCCGTCGAATTTAAAATAAAATCCAGGCGGCTGTTGCGTATTCGGCATATAGGGGTCAGAGTACTGTCAAATATTCTGTGATTGAAATGTGGAGTGAATAAATTACGCTTACACATGCATTTTGATCTCCTAAAAATGTAAGTAAAAGAACACAGGTAGGAGTAAAATGTTTCAAAAGCCTGCGAGTTCAAATATTTATTAAAAAAATTTGGAGCAGGTTTGAATAGATATGCTATAAATTTTCAAGAAAGATTTGAATAAAATAGAGAAGATTTTTCAGACAATGAAAACTTTTAAGCGTAAACTTGCTATCTGAACTCTAGTTTGCAATCTAATACCTTAAAGAAAAATTTGCCATTCAAATTAAAAAAATGTATGTGTAGATATTTGTTTGTCATAGCCAAATGAAAAAAAGTATAAATATTTGCTTAATAAATATAAGCATAACGCCATTTGTTGCCAACAAATAAATTAAAGCTTTATCATTGAATAAAATTGAAAATAATTTTAAAAGCTTTGTTTTTGTATTTCTTGGTTGAAGTATGGTATAAACGGAAAAATATAAAAATTTTAGAAGATATACCTGTAAAAAACATTGAGGTTTTCTTCGGAGTAGGAAATATGAAAAAAAAAAAAAAAAAAAAAAAAAAAAAAGCTATGCTCTTTCCAGGATTTGAATAGTGAATCCAGTTGTTTGCTTGATGAGCTGTCATTTACACACAAGAACACATACTTTGGTTCGGGCACCAGTGTTGAAAAATTAGGTTTTATTCAGAGCTAGATACTAGAAAATTCAACTGTGTTGTCTTCGATACTAAGATATTCCAATCGCCAATAGGATGTATTATTTCTTACGCGATTACAACAAACATGGGGATATGTGGTAATGTATTAAATATACTCCTTTGAATAAAATTAAAAACAGAAATATACACAAAAGCGGCAATTTGGCGTGTATTCACTTTGCAGATGGGTAAAACAACGAAACTTCTCATGGAAACTCTCTAGCCCGATTCTAGGGCTTAAGTAATTTCCAATTACTTAAGAATGTCCGTAAGTAAGGGGCTTAGGTAAGCCCTATTCCGGGGCTTGAGTAACCAGCGTTCAGTGCTTGCTGCTCTGTCGCTTGTAAGGCTTTAAATCTTGGAACAGGGTACACAGGTATTTCAGGCTTTGGCCACTACTAAGGCTATAAGCGGTGATCATTTTATTATGAAGGCACCTAATAAGTGGCTACCGTTGCCTCCTATGAAGGGGCATACAATTTACATCTATGCCTTTTGTGGGATTCGAATCCGGGACCTTCGGTACGGCAGTCAGAGTTCCCTAGCCAAATTTCCTGTCTTGGAAGCTATACAGGTATATGCAAGAGTTCAATAAAATGGATAAAGTATTTAAGCTAATAAAATATAACACACAAATATAAAATAATAAAAAAAAAAAAATGTGAAAGCCTTCAGATTTTTACGTTACGCCCAAAGGGACGTCTTTTTGATTAACACACACATTCACGCTTCGAGAACATTCGAGCCAACGTTCCTTTAGACTAAAAATGTTTAAAAACAGCATAAATTTAGAATTTCCGATAGACAGTCTCGCCCACTGGAGATAAAAATATTTTTTTTTCCGTACATTGCTCGCTTTGAAATCGCTGAGTGTGTTAATTAAAAATTCATTACAGTTTCACAAAATGTGAAATAGATAATAAAACAAATTCAAAATTCGGGCTTCCGAGTGCCCATATTGAGGTGGAGGATTACGTTATTCAAAATTTTATGGCTCTATGTACCACTGTTTTTTCACAGTGCGATGAATATGCATATATTCATGCAGATTCTTCATTACGTAATTTCCTTAAATATAATATAGAGTGATAATATTTGGTGGCAACAATATGGAAAGTGATTTAACGCTTTTAGTGATTCGACGCAAATTGCAAGTTCGAGACTATTATCCCTTTAGGCCAACGCCCCTTTGGTCTATCAGTATCAGTATCAATCTTGCCTCTTAGACAAGAAGAAAGATGATGAGGACTTTGGCAAACGCCGTTTCCTCCCATTCGTGAGGGTTAATATTGAAATTAACAACAAACGTTTTTTACAAATTTTTATTAAACATATACAAACATCCATGCCTTCTCCGGGATTTGAACCCGGACCCTTCGGCACGGTAGTCAGCAACGCTAACCACTATACCGGTTGGGCGGCCCCTTTGGTCTAACAAAGGTTGGATATACGAGTTTTGGTTATTAAGAAAAGGGCTTGACGATGATGAAAGCGGAAGACATGCAATAAATGTAAAATAAAACGATATAACTTGGGAAGACCGTGGATACTTGAATAGAGCATTAAAAGCACTTAAAAAGGAAAAAAAAAATACAGGAAAAAAAAAGTAAAATTAAATATTGCAAAATTAGGCAGATATTTGGCGAAGAATTTTGCCCGGAAGCCGAAATTCGAAAAATTTCTTTTTGCAAAAATGATAACATAATTTTTTCAGAAATTTATTTCAGGTTAAGAAGATGTTTATTAAATGCTGCAAGTTTATTTCTCTTAAAAGTAGATATATTGGTGGTATTATTTCTAATATTTGCAATTTAAGAAACTAGAATTTTGCTGGCCTAAAATGTTTATATAATAAATTAGTTTTGTGTATTTATTATACAAAATAAATTTTTGATTAAAACAGAATTTAAAGCACACTTTTCTAGAAATATATGATCATAGGGATCAAATATTACCATGACTAAAATTTAATGTAATGAAAGCATATGGTGTTATGAAGCATATAATAGCATAGATCGAGTTCCATATAAAGGTTATAAAACACAAATTAATCTAATGGAATTTATCTATAAAATGCTATGACATTTTTATGCAATTTTTGCATAAAATATGGAAATTCTTAACAATTTTTCCGGGACTGGAAGTAGCAGACGAGTCGTTTTGTGCATTACTCCCAAAACTTGAAGATTAGCTAGGTTTTAGTGTCATCATTTTTTTAAGTTTCAATTGATGCTTACTGTATACTTCTAATATTAAAAAAATAGTTTTTATTAGTTTTATTAATAAATATGAGTTCATAATTTATAATTTTAATGCCCCCCCCACCCCCCCCCCCCCCCCCCCCCCCCCCCCCCCCCCCCCCCCCCCCCCCCAGATTTACAAGACAAATATTTTAAAAGTAAGGTGTTTACAGGTACAATTCTTGTCATAACTGAGAATCAAAAAGTAAAATGCTAAATTGTTTAAAATATTAAGTTATTTAAATTTTGTTTTATTTACAATATTAATTATTTAAAATATTCTTTCTAAATTATAATATATATGCAATGAAGTCTATAATCCTAATTAAAAAAAATAACTGGAATGAAATATCTGCCCTCCAAGTCAAGCAATGATGTGGAGCTATATCATCTTATTTTTAAAATATTTATATTTACAATTCATGAAACAAATTATTTACTGCCAATTAATAAACATTCTTTATGAAAAAGAGAATCACCGACAATACTTTAAAAATGTTTTTAAAATGTCAATTTACCATACAAAAAAAAAAAAAAAAAAAAAAAAAAAGAGGCACACCCATCCAAAATATTCCTTAACATTTATATTTTAAAATTAAAATACATTTATGACGCGTTATAAAGCATAAACTAATCAAAATATGTGTCAGTTACATTATCATTATACAGTCTTCCGGGCAAAACCTCTCCATTACTTATTCTGCACGTTAAAAATTTCAAAAGAAGGCTTAATGCTTTATTTACAATTGTGGTAAAATAAAATACAAAACTACCGAAGTTTAGAGAGTTATTGCAATGTAGTATTCCTTATTAGTTGCAAAGCTGCGCTGTGCTATATATATGCATTTGAGATTTTACAAAATGAAACGCAGATAGGAGCTCTCGGAAAAAATTCTGTAAGATTCTCTTTACAGGCAAATAGACATCTGTTGTTCTTACTCTCTTGGATATTTATTAATGACAATTTTAAATTTCATCGTCTACAATAGAACTCAAGTATTTTTAAATATTTAGGATAATTCTTGAAAATATTAATAAGAGAGAAATTAAGATACTACATATTTCCCATACATCTGGACTAACTAAGACTACAGGCCATCCGGAAAACTCTTTTTCTTCTCCGTAGGAAAAACATGCATTTATTATAATGCAAGTGACGAATCTGTTATATGAATAAATTATCTGCTGTATATAAAATTTTAACATTATTTATAGCAAGTAGAATTAAAAAAATGTAAATAAATTAACAGGAAGCTTTATTTACAATTTAGAGCTTAATTTTGCTAGTTTAATATTAGACGCCTTCGAAAACATACAAGTGATCCACATTCCAGTTATTGGAATTAAAAGGCCGGTTATCTGTTGTCCGGATCTTTGAAGCTATATTATGCAGGCTTTGAAGATATATTATGCATTGAATTATTACGCATTTGAAGCTATATTACGCATTTGAAGCTATATTACTATTATTTGAAGCTATATTATGTAGGCTTTGAAGCTTTGAAGCTATATTATTAACTTCTGAATTACTATATTATGCATTTAGATAAACAGGATGCTTGTTTGGTGTATGGTTTGAGTCACGGTTCGTATTCCATAGAAGACATAGATGTTTGTAGTAAATGTATTGTCCGTTTTCGGTATGGGAGCACTTAAAAATATTTCGAACCGGAAGTTCCTTCTGGCAATCAGTGGTAAGAGAATAAAGGATGCAAGCTTTTTAGATTGCGTTCTCGTCTTTCTGTGCATATTCGAAAAATGTGACAGCAATTTATGTGAATGTGGTGAGGAAACGGAAGCGAGCTACTATGAATCTGAAAGCCTTGTAAGGTTTATCCTAAATTTTTAACAGTTAATTTTTAGTTAAAGCAACTTTCCTATCTTTCATAATTTTAACTTACGATTTCTTGCCAGAACGTGTTTTCAGAATCGCGGTTAAATGCAAATGAAGGAAGAGCAAACATTTAAAGTTGAGATTCTACTGACTTCGTCAGAGTCGGGGATTCTGACCAGCGCGCGGTTCGCGTTTTAGGCTACACTCTCTCTAAGCTATTTTTACGTTCGGCCGTATTTCAGACCCTTGATAGCTTCACCGTTTAGTTAGCGTTAAGAAACCAACTCCTGTAGAATTTTGATAGCTTCGACTATATCTTTTTAGTTAAGTTTTATTTCTTAGTATTCTTAAGCCCAAGTAGAGGCTTTCTCTACGTCCTGAAAGAGGACCGCCTGTTAACTTTATTTTGAGCAATAAAGGATAATTAACCCTTCTGGAGTATCTGTTCTCTGTCTACTGAACTGAAGCGATTATTCGCTTACCAGCTCTCAAGGTTCCACACATTTAGCTGTAAATTCTAGGTTGGAACATTACACTCTTTTGAAAGAAATAATTAAATGCACTTAAATAGAGAGACTGATTAAATTTTTTTTAATATTACTACCAACTACTGCCGATTTTAGGGCATATAGATGGGTTAGATTTAGAAAGTTTTCTTTTATATTGTATTTTTATCTTACATACATATAATGTAAAATAAAAATCGTAGCAGGCAATTGTCTAGTGATAAAAGCAACTAATTAGAAAATTCCAGCCCGTACAGGTGGTTACTAAGTGTTTGCCAACCATCAAAAAATATTTTAATTTTGAGTATGACATTAAATTTTTATTCTCAGAATTTCAAAACAACATGCTCGTTTGAAGAGCTTGAAATGCCGGTGGTGCCAAATAATGAAGAGAAGAAAATGCGGAAAAATTTATCTAAAAGTTTTGCACCGAAGCTTCCTTAAAAACAATGCAACGAATTTTCACATTCTTCATGTTTATTAAACAGATATGCCTACACACAATGCGTTTAGTTTTAGCGGATGTCTTAAAAATCCTCACAAAGGAAATATGAATATTTAAATTCTAGAAAACTTATTTTTAGACAAAATTTTACATGTTGGAAAATATCTATTGTTATTCCGAGTATTTTTATAAGTCTGCTGAAAATGTAAACGAGAATGGGCCATTTTTAGACGACTATTGGCTTTGAAAATTTATATTAACTATACGAAGTTTTCGAAATTAAACACTGCATTTCAAGTAGAAACCATCATTTTAATAAACAATAATTATGCCTCATAGACATCAAAGAATTATATTTAATGAACATTTTATTACATCTATCAAAGCGCCTCTACAAACTTTAGCGTTAGGTAGCAGATAATAAATTTAATATAATGTCTACAACGAAATAAGTTCGTTCGGATAATATTAATTCTCATATACAAATTCAGTTTATTTAAGATCTATTTACATCATGTATTTTTTCATGCATTTATTTCAATACCTTGCGATTATTTGTAGATAAAATTAACATAATGATTAACTAAAATCGAATTTTTGGCACTTTTTTCTTCTTACTTGTGCATTAGCCCGTGCCCCTCAGTACATCAGTCCCACCCCACCTCACCCCAGGGAATGATTTTTGCAAGTATTCGGCAACCAGATTTTTCTAGAAACATCAGATGTTTTTGATTCCTTTTACTTTTCTTGTTCATTTTGCCTCCTTCTCCTCCTCCCCCCGGCTAAAGTAGGATGGAGCTCGTCTTTTCAATTTCAATGTTAATTTTAGACCAATGAGAACAACTATATATCTGCACTGTGTGATTATTTTCGAAATTCTTTCCCCGAGGAAAATTCTCGGAATTAGGTTTGTTAGTCTCATGTGACATTTTTACAATGTTTAGCGTTCTGTATGAAATTGTACATCAAGAAGGTACACAGTAGGCATGTTGTGTGAAGAACAGTCTACAAAACGCTAAAATAAGAACTTCGAATAGGTTCGAGAGAAATCACTTGCGTTTGTATTTAGCGGCGTTCATATAGAGTCAGAGTCAAACTGAAGAGAATAATAATTTGACACGAGTTCTGATGCGACTGCTAAATAATACTCGCCGGAAATCAATAAGAACCTGTGTCGTCGATCTGCTAATGTCACAAAATATATTTAGTTACTAAAAGGTGCTAATAGTTTGTTTAGCAGTGTATAAATGAGTACTGGACAGTATCCTAGCGCCGTTTGCCCTTTGTTTACCCATTTTTTGCCGTCTGGACCTACCCATACCATCTGGAAAAAATCAAATTCCTTTGTTTTTTAGGTTGTGCAGCTAATATAACCTATCACAGTTTAACTTACTAAATCATAAAAGGTTACCAGAATATTTCCTTGAGTATTCATGTAAAAAAAAATCGGAGAACGTGATTTTTAGACAGAGAAAAAAGCCAAGCAGCTGCGGAATATGAATGAAAAATTAAGTCGGAAAATAAAAACGAAATTTAGCAAAGAAATTTGGAACTTTGTGCATTGCAGTTCATTAATCGTTACTGTTTCGAGAAATTCATTATTCTTCGATAACATAAGAGAATTTCAAAGTACGCCATAAACAGTAAAGAAGTATTATTTTAGACGCTGGAAAAGTATCCTAAATTTTAAACTAGCAGCAAAAAAGTTGGATTTTATGCCGGAAATATTTAGAAAACGCCAAAGAATGCGTGCGAACTCTATAACAAAATAATACATACGAACTGAACCTTTTGTGGTGTATTTTTTATGGTGTGTTTTAAATCTTGCTGGCTTGCTTTAGATCATTAAAGCAAAGTACAGTTGTAAAGATTTTAAGTTTTACTAAGGTTTATTTTATTTTAAAACTTCTTCTGTGATTTCCCATTTCCGACCAGAATAAGCGCGAGTAGGAATCTTGTTAATGAGTTGCAAACTGTAAAGGTATTTAAGAAGTGGCTTTTAGTCAAGAGAAGAGAGATACTTCTTGCTGCCCTGCCACGTGTGCTTTTCTGTCAGTTCATGCCTGCCTTTAAGGCCAGAACATAGTTCTTTCTGATATACTAAGACGTATTGCAGTATTTGCATTTCACTCACTACATGCGCAGTGTCAAAAGGCCAATCTTCACGTTAATAATCTCTGTAAAGCATTTAAGTTTAGTTCTTATTTAGTTAAGTTAGTTTGTTTTTTATTTTCTATTTTTTAGACCAAAAGTGCTGGTCTCTGTTACCCGAAGTGCGGTTGTGGCTGTACACTGTGGGAAATATAAAGGGTAAAGTTAATCTCTCTTATTGGGTGTTGTCTCTTCTACGCACACACGAACATAGTTTGAGTAAGCTCCCTGTTCCTGTTCCTACTTCAAGACTCCAGTAATGCTTCCCAAGCCAGTTAGAAGGAATAGTAGTCCTGACACAGTAAGGCCTAAAGAGAGGCAATCACTTTTGCAGTTTTTACAAAACTGTTTTATTCTTCTGTTTTTTTTTAATTAAAAATTGCCATAGCATGAATATTTTCCTTGGTTAAAGTATTTTTGTAACTGGAAGTATATATTTACGATGAACAGTTGCAAAAATAAAGGCTACATAAGAACTTTTAGCGACATGGTGTATGCTAATTCAAGCATTAAAACTGCTTCGTTCAAAACATGAAACAAGAAATCTAGTAATTGAATATTTTTATTGTACTACTGTAAGGTTTATCCTAAGTTTTTAAGAGTTGAAGCCACTTTTGAGTTAAATCCACTTTCCTATCCTTCTTAATTTCAACTTACAATTTCCTGCGTGTTAGCTGACAATTTTTTACGTGTTTTCAAAATCGCGGTTAAATGCAAATGAAGGAAGAGCAAATGAAATGAAATGCAAATGAATGGTTAAATGCAAATGAAGGAAGAAGTATTTAAAGTTGAAGTTCTACTGACTTCGTTAGAGAGCCAGAGATTCTGACCAGCGCGCCTTCGCCTTTTGGCTCTACTCTCTCTAAAGCTACGCTCGGCTGTACTTTAGGCCCTCGATAGCTTCGCCGCTTAGTTAGCGTTAAGGAGCTAACTCCTGTATATTTGTGATAGCTTCGGCTATATCTTTATAGTTAAGTTTTATTTCTTGGCATTCTTGAGTTCAAGCCCAAATAGAGGCTTTTCTGTACGTCCTGAGAGAGGACAGACTGTGAACTTTATTTCAGCAATAAAGAGTAATGAACCTTTCGTGAGTTTACGTTTCTATTTTTCTGAACTAAACGATTATTCGCTTACCAGTTCTTAACGTTCCACACGTTTAGCTGTAAATTCTAGGTTGGAACATTATACACTACTATTAGAAGGATAACGACGTTTCTACCCCTGCAGACGATGGCAACTGAGAGCTTGACTGATGATGGCAGTCCATGCTTGATTGTTCAAATTAAATAGCAGATTTCAGAACGTGTAATAAGAGAAAAGGAAAGAAATTTCACTGCTGTTTGTCATTCAGACGAATAACAGTTTCTTTATCTGATATTTATTCCAAATTGTGAATTTCAACTAGTAATAACTAAATTCAGGAAAAATTAGAAATGTCACTTACCTCAGCATCTACGTCAAAAGGATAGGTCGAGGTTGTATTGGCATCTTGGGTTAAAAGGAGTCGGTCATCCGTCATACTTCATGAGTTCCGTTTAACTCTCTAAAGTAAGTCAAAACTGCAAATTATGATAAGGTTTTTTCAAAACGTTATGATAAGATTTATCAAAAAATATGATAAGACTTATCAAATTGAAAAAAAATACGGCTATTGTCGTGTATACCTTTTACACTTGAAATGTATGATACTCCTAAATAGATTTACTATTGTATATTAATTTATTTCACAATCTGTTTAGGAAGAGTTTCATAAGAAAGATTGCATTTTTGAATGAGAATGATTGTATCATGTGAAAGAACATAAGATGTTTTACTTGAGGGGGAAAAGTTAGAAGAATAAATAAATAATGAATCTCTATATTCAGTTCTGAATTTGCTACTAATTAACAATAAATAATAGAAGGTAACCATTCTTTGGTCATTCTGAATGATTGAAGCATTAATTATTGGTACTGAATTGGACGAAAAAGCAGGAAAATTGTTTTTAAAACTAACTGGTTTTCTCAGACACATAATTACAGATATAGTTCATGGAAATAAATTTGGATATTTTACAACTGTATAATGAATTATTTAAAATCGTACATGAGGTAATGATACATATCTGACGGAAATGAAATTCCAGTTAGTTATCACGTGTTTGATTTTTAAGGACTAAAATATTTACATATATATATATATATATATATATATATAGACATATACGTATATGTAAGATAAATACTTCCTTTTGACTTCGTACAAGGAAGTAAAAATAAGTAAATCAAAATGATTTAAACGATAATCCCTTAATTCTCCCTTTCTATTCTAAAAATAGTAATAAATTTTCAGGACTGCGTTATTTTTAGATAAATTTATATGACATGACTTGCATAACGCTGGTGATGTGGCTAACTCGGACCTGACCTCGAAATTCCGAGAACTTTCTCTTAATAATCAACTTAAACCGAAACCTTCTCTTAATAGGCTGCCACATAGGATAACTGCGCACTTTAGCTTCTACCTCTCTTCCCGTTAAGACGCTATTTCGCTTTGCTCAACAGTACAAAATGTAAATATTCTTGAATAGACAGGATTAGAGTGGCGAGTTAATAGTCGCCACAAATGTCAATTGAAGTAAAGATGAATATTTAATCCGCTTCGACTGCCAAGTTTCCTGTTCATTACGGATTCAACATTCTACTTTCTACGCCATTAACACTGCTACGTCTTTTTTATTATCCTCACATATATATAATTTAAATTACTTTGTGGGATTCTCACTTGTGTCTTTTTCAGTTACTGTAAAAAGTGAAGAATCTTAAGAACTGCTAAGTGAATAATCGCTTAAGTTCGTGTGACAAGAAACAACAAAATGGAAGGGTAACTAACCCTTATTATTCCAATAAGATTTAACAGAACTCCGTCTTGAAGTGTACAATAAAAGCCGACACTTGGGCTTGAACTTAAGAGGGTAAGAAATAAACTAAACCCTTAACTCCAGTTGACTACGAAGCTATCAAGGGCTTGATTACGGCCGAGCGTAATAACAGCTTTGAGAGACAGTAGCCAAAAAGGCAGACGCGCGCAAATCAGAAACTCTGATTCTTTCTCACTCAGCAAGTAGAACTTCGCGGTTAAATACCGCTCTTCCTCATTATGTATTCAGAATGATTCTAAAAATGATTCTAAAACTACGTTCTGGCCGGAAGTAGTAGGTTGAAGTTATGAATTTGACAGGAAAGGAATTTAAAATTTAACTGTTAATAAAATTAAAACAATTCTTACAACTTACTGTCCAAAAACATGTAATAAATGAATATACAATAGTAAGCGAAAATGGATCTGGTAAAAAATATATTAGTAATTTAAAATATTTAAATTAAAAACATAAGGATTCAAAAAATGAAATGACAAGCTAAAAAAAGCTAAAGAAACCTGGAGCAGGTTTAGGACCATCTCAATCTGTTCTTTTTCAGGGGAATGGGCAGAATTAAAACAATATGTTCCAATGTTAATATTTCTTTTAACTTTTTTGGACCTGGTAACTCTTCACGTTTAAAACAAGACTGCTAAAAATGGCTTTTTAATTTGGCAATTTTAGAATTTATTTAAAAGTACATTGCTGTATGATTTGTAGCAGAATAGTAAGTTCCCATTGCAACCTGGCATCTTGTGATTTCCCTTGACAGCACTGTTTCGAGAGTATTACTGTGAGTTACTCTAATTTTCCCCTTTTCTGCATAGATTTTGTTTAATAATTTTATTTATTTGTTTATCAATTTCCTCCAATCCTGCTAGAAAGAGTTATTATCAAAGAAATTAGGTTTAATAAATATCATAATCTTTTGCCATTTTATAAAAGCTATTTTTTTATTTTCCCCCTTAATAAGATAGATTTTTGTATCTTGTATTAATTTCATTTTATTAATCTAAGTTTTCTTTTCAGATTAACTGTAAAAACTAACAGAATTTTTGCACAGAGTGACGTTTAAAATTATTCGCAATGAAATCTGCCATGTCATTTACAGTTCATCTTCATTTCGAAAGTTTATATACATTTTTCACAGGATTTTATTTTAATAATGGTGTTTTAAATTTTATTGTGATCCTTAATATCAAATTCCTTTTTTAAGATTTTAGAATTTCAACATCCAGAATGTTATAAAGTTCTGAAATTTTTACAAGTTGTAAGGCAAACACTTCGTGCTCTTTCGAAAAAAGAATGATAAAACAATTAGGCAGTTTTCTTGAATTGTTTTTTAAAATTTGTCTTTTGCGGACCTAGCATTCTGTCTGCAAGCTTAATTTATAAAATAAAATGCATAACACACCGAAAACTGGCCACTCCCAGCTGTTGCTAATTTTCAAGCAACTAGAGAATAATCTCTTATGCACGTTATCATTACGCCAAGCTAAGATCACCGTGAATTTAAGGAAGCCTTTTATAACATTAGGGACATTAGATTGAAAATTTGAAGTAATCATATAAATATTTAATTTAACAAATGTGTGTGATGTTAAAAATATATATGTAGCATTTTCTTTCCATTTACGTATCATGTTGCGTAACGTACGTTGTAGAATCATTAAGTTTGTGGAAGCAGCAGACGTGAAAAACGAGCACTGTGATCGCTGTGATTTGAACTCAGGTGCTTCAATTTGCCAGCCGGATGTGCTTTCCAGTTACACCACTAAAGCACGTGGGAAGGAGGAAGAAAATACCTTACATACTTTCCCTATTTAAAGATTACTGTGGAAAACGGAACGCAATCACCAAACCTTGCGGTGACGAATTACCATCCTCCACACTTTAGTTCGGGGGCCAACTGTAGAGTCATTAGGTTTGTCGAAGCTGATGATATGAAGAACTAGCAATGTGCTCGTCGGGTATTGAACTCTGTACCTTCTGATTGCCAACCGGATGTACTTTCCAATTCCTTCACGGTAAGGAGGAAGATATCGTTAAATCCCTATCACATTATGTTTTCCCTGTTCTGGACTGGACTTCGAAAAGGACAGAACCTGCACATTTCCAGGAAACCCACGTTGCTAGGTTACATTTTCATTTACTACAAAGACTTGAAAGCCAAAGAGTAATAGATTATTGCTCAGATTGAGATCACGTGATCCTTCAGAAGCAGAACTTTCGTCTGACTGGTTGTTCTCTATGCTGGACAGAGCTGCAGCCGAAACATCTTCGGCGACGTTTAAAAAAAATTCCGCATAGCCGGCACATCGTTTCCGCAACTAGGCGGGACTTCGCTTCCAGCGGGGCTCTTTTTCCTAGGTTGGTGTTGGTGTATTTAATTATGGCAAAGCACACGAGGGCTAGCTGTCTAAGGGGAGGGATGCCTTTCGTGGAGGACTTTCTAAGGGAAACTGGCTCGTATACACGTTACACATGGGGAAAACCACGAAAACGCCCATGCAGCCAGCCCGTTCGCGGGATTCGAACCTCGGACCGAACTACCAGTGTTCAGCGACTTTACCGCTCGGCCGCTGGTGGGCCCTTTTTTCTAGGAATCCTCCCGTTTAAACCAGTACTACCAGAATCTTGTTTCTCAGAAAAGTCCCGTCTAGCAGGGATCCTTGCTAGATGCGATAAGAGTTTTAAGTTATGTCACTCATTTAATCATATAAAAGATCAGACAATTTATCTGGTATATTTCATAAATACAAGAATCAGTGTTATAAGGAATATTTTAATGAATAAATTTTAGATAAATTATGAAATTCGAAGATAAAAATTTCGACATAAGCTGAAAATAAAGTAATTGGCTTTAATATTTTTATAAAAAACTCCTAATTTAACTGGAGGATTAACTGAGTAGCGGATTCGTCGAGCTATGTGTGAAAAATATTAATTTTATTTATTAGGGAACGATGAAAAAATTGCTGTCACGAAACATCAACCTAAAATAAACTATCTATGGAAAATTAAAAAAACGATGTGAGTCGAATAAATTCAACGATAGCAGATAATATCATTATATTTGGGAAGTAATTTTTAGAAGTTAACAACAGTGCATAATTTAATTTCTTAATCGGATTATAAAATTCTTTTAGCCCAAAAGAGTGCTGTTAGTCTCGAAAAGGGTTTTTGAGCTGTTTCATTGTAAATGGAGTATCACTTTTCAAATTATTGCTACCTAAATATCATCACCTTTTATTATTTTCAAAGAAATTAAAGAATGAAGAATCTGTACGAATGTATACATGTTCCTCGTACTGTGAAAAAACAACGGTTTCTACAGCCATTAAATTCTGAATGACATTCGCCCATGTTCGGGTGTCCGCCATTCGAACATGGACACCTGGAAGCCCCAATTTTGAAATGTTTTATTACCTATTTCATATTTTATAAAACTTCACTGAATTTTTATATAACAAACTCAACGATTTGAAAGCGAGCTGTGGCAACATTGTTCGAAAAAAAAATTTTATCCCAGCAGGAGAAACTGTTGCCATTCGGAAAAAGATAAGATTTTTTATCTTTCAATTTTAATTAACAAACTCAGCTCTATGAAAGCAATGTGTGACTGATTTACTTTTACTTTCCTC